TTTGAATGCCTTATAGCTAAATCGTCTCGTCTTAGATAGGTTAATGTCTGTGCTACCGATATTTAAGTCTGATTCGAAAGCCTTAAGTAGAACTTCCTTAGTTCTTAAGTTTACTAGTCTATTAGTTAGGTAAATCGAATGCATTACTATAAAGCACTAGCAGTACATTAGTAGGCTAGAGTTAATTATTATTGCTCTTGCCTTAAGCAGAATCGTCTTGTTTAACGACTCTACAATGCTATTCTGCTCCGGTGTATATAGTGTAGACATATCCTATCTAATACTAACTTCCTTTGCAAAATGTACTAGATCGTTGTTAGTAAACTCTCCCCCGCTATTACTAAAGATAATCTTAGGGATTTTGTTGTATTGCCTCTTAATTCTAGTTATCCAGTTAGTTAGCTTGTTACTACTTGTTACCTTATCTTTGTTTCGAAGTAACAGACCCTACCTAAGCCTAGTTTTAGCATTAGTTAGGATTATAATATACCTGTTTCTAAACAGATTAAATGGTTATACGCTAACAAGGTCGATATAGACTTCGTTAAGGGCTTTTTCTAGTCTAGTTCTATATTCTCTTAATACAACTCTTTAAGCTCTCGAGAGCTTATAGGTCTTATAGTGCTCGAGTTCAGATCTATTAACTTCTTCTAGGCCTAGAATGGCTTCCTTAGTAGCTGTTAGGATCTTGTTGCCGACGTAGCTAAGTCTCTAATACTATCTTAATGTATCCGCTCGTAGTCTAGCGATAGCTAGGGCTAACAGCTGCCCTTTCTAACTCGATTCTAAGTTTGGTTTTGAAGCTAAGCCTAGCATTTTGACTCTAGCATCTTTAAGGGCGAGTACTCCTTATACTTCCTTAACCTTTCTAATTAGCTTGCCTTTAAGCATTAAAGTGCCTAAAGGTCTGTCTAAGTAAATGCTATATTTCTTCTAAAGACGCTCTGCTAAGATTAGGTTGCAATCTAAGTTTAGGGAGTAGAGGACGTCTATTAGAGTAATTAGGGTTTTCTTCCCTTTATAGGTTAGGAAGATGTTAACAGTTCCTAATCGTAATACACTTGATTTTCCTACTGCTTAGGAGAACTAAATAGGCTTAGTTAGGTGCTTAAGATCGCTAAACTAGCTCTTGTTCCCTATAATATGCAGTAATATACCTGTATCCCAAACTTTTGTATTAGCTATTAGGTTCTTAGAGCTTGCTACAGCTAGTCCCGGCTTTGCAATAGCTCCCCTAATTAGGCCCCTACTAAGGCCGTCTAGCTAATAGTCTCCCTTATCTTCCGAGTTAGAGGAGGAGTCTAATTTATCTTTGTTATTATTAATAGCACTACTAGATTTGCCCTTTCCTTTGCCTTTACCCTTCTTGCCTTTATCTTTGTCTTTGTCTTTGCTCTTGTCTTTCTTTCCCTAACTAGGTAGTACTATATTAGGGTGTTGCTTATAGCACTTAGCGTTAGTATGCTTGTGCTTGTACTAAGTGCACTAGTCGTTATTATTGCTAATAGCCCCTCTAACAAGCTTTAAGCCGCTAGATGACTGTCTAGGAGGCTTTTCTCTCCTTAGGGACGTTATTATTGCTTTAAGGGAGGAGTCCTTAGCTTTAGGCTTATTGTTATACTTCTAGGATCTAAGCTATTCGTAACTAGAAAGGCCCTAAATAAACAGCATCCTAACAAGTATATTAGGCATCTTAATGTCTGATAACTTTATAGGCGCTTCTGTTATTGTAACTAAGCTAGCAAATTGTTCTGTCGATATTTAGAATCTGTTAAACTACTGCTAAAAAGATTCGTAGTACTACTAGGTGTTCGGATTAGTAAGGGGTATCCTAATGTGCCTAATAAGTTTAATAGTATTAAATATGTCTACGGTTACAATAGGCTTGTATAGAGCCTTAATGTAGTCGTATGTATCCTTAGCTAACTTAGGTATATTACCGAAGTCTAGTCTAAGAGCAGGGTCGAGTCTAGCAATAAGTATACCTAGGGCTTAGATGTCTTTCTTTTTCCAGTCCCTAAATATGTCTCTATACTACTAATTGGCTAAGTCCCCTATAAACATGCTTTTTAGAGGTAGTTTTATTTTATTAGCCTAGTTAAGTCTATAGAATACTATACTAACTAGGTCCTTTTCTAGAAGGGCCGCCTAGAATATAAGCTTCTAGTCTTAGAAGTTGATCCCCTTCCTAAGAACCTGATTCTCCTTTGCTGTCTTTGTCTAATTAGTGTCTATCGTTCCTAGCTGCCTTTTAGTATAGTACTAGGTAGGGCTTATAAGGGACACTTGCTAGGTTTTAGTCCGAACTAGAGCTCTTAACTAGGTACCTAATAGGTCTAGATAGCTAGCTCTGTTTAGTAGACTCTAGAAACAGTTCTTTTATAGTTAAACTAGACAGGTAAGCGTATACGCCGGGCTTATAACTTGTTATAAATCGTACTAAGGATGCAACTAATTATCGGATTAACAACTATATAACTATACAAAGAAGGATTAGGAGCCTACTATAGAAACTGCAGTTAATATAGCCATTGTGTATCCTTCCTCTTGGTATAGGTCAGCTGATGGTATCAGCTAACCAGCATATCACCTAACTGAACCACAACAGAGACTTTCCGGTGGCTCTCAGGCACCGAGACTTTCAAGTCACCCTCAGGCACCACTCGAAAGTCTTGGCATACTCGTCGCGGTTGCCCAATACAACATCATCACATCTGCTTCCTCACAGGATCATAGGTTCGGCAATCTGGTGTAGTGATGGCCACCTCCAGCTTTTGAGGGGCGCTGCCTTGAGATTGTGCTCTGAATATCAACAAGCGTCTTCACGACCGCCGGCGAGCCAGGTACATTTCGGTATCGCTATCGCCACTGCATCCCGACCACGAGTCCGACATCAAAACACCTCACCGCGTGGCCGGCAGCGAGATGCCGCGACTCAATCACAAGAAAGCCAGAACGGGCTGCCAGCGCTGCAAAACGCGCAAAGTGAAGGTGAGCCTTAGCAAGACATGAACGTGTAATGTTCCTGTATGTACTGACTGCCGCGGCAGTGTGATGAAGGTAAACCAAAGTGCGCTGCATGTGCGAGACACAATGTTGCCTGCGAATACATCGAGCCGGCGCCGCGAAGAGTGGATCAGCAGCATGCCTTTCCCCAAGCTCAGCAAGAAGCGTATCAGATTGGCATCGCTTCAAACGAACAGCTGGACCCGAGGCTAGAAATCAAACTTATGCATCAGTGGACTGCATACACTTGCCAGGTGCGATTGCTGCTCCCTGCCGCACATGACGGTTTGAGCCTTTTCCCGGCTTTGCTAACATGTAACCAGACCTTCTCCACAGCCTTCGAGTTCTGGAGATGCCAGGCGCCACTTTTCGCCATGGAGCACAGGGTGCTTCTTGACGCCATGTTTGGCCTAGCTGCGCTTCATGCCTCAAGACAGTCCTTCGCCCAATCCATGCCAATGGACGGTCGCATGATTCCAATCAGAGACCCAACCCACACCCCGAGAGACGTTACAAGGGACCTTTCAAGCCATTGGAAGGAGCACGAAGATGGCGTGGAACTTGCTTGTGCATTGCGAAATGCCAATCATCCAGACTATGTTGGAGCAAAGCGCAGTCGGGAGCTGCTTCTGAATGCCCGCAAGTATTTTGACCGCGCTATAGACGGTCACCGAAGTGGTCTCGGAGCATTGACACGAGAGAACGTGGAAGCCACCTACATCGCCTCAATCCTCATCTCATTTCAAGCACTTTTCAGCCTGAGTGAGACAGAGGAGGATAGCACTCTCCCCGTGGTCGATGCGATTGTCTGGCTGCGCTTGGCGGACAGCACGCGCTACCTTTGCGACATTTGGCGAGGTATGGCTGGAGACGAGTGGCTCGACGAGGCTTGTGTCTACTTTGGCAGAGCAAAGCTGCAAGGTGCTGAAGAGCTCTATCAGCGCGAAGAAGGCAAGCCATTTCAATCACTCTTGACATTTGCACAAGAGTATGAGACCACTACTATCGAAGACAAGACGGTATTTCAGCAAGCTGTGGCCGCTCTCGCTCTCATCTACAAAAGCATCACAGAAGATATCGATGCGCCACTCGTCAACTGCCGACGACTTGTTGCAATGCCATCTCAGCTGCCTAGACGCTTCACTGAACTGGTGGAAATCAGGAATCCTCGGGTAAGCAGATGCTCTCAGGTGCCATTTCATTGGTCAAATGGAAAGCACTCACTAACTCTTCGAAACCGATAGGCAATGATGGTAATGGCGTACACATTCGCCACAATGAAGATATTGTCCGAAAAAGTGCCTTGGTTCCGCGGCATTGCAGAACAACAGATTCCCAGGATAGCTGCACAGGTCCCGCACGCCTGGGGCGAGATGATGAAGTGGCCCCTGGATATTTCCCAGAATCGCAACGAATCGAGGTCACAGGAAGAAGACATTCGCGAGGTTCTTGCACTAGAAACTTGAACATCCGCCTGTCTTGCTGGGCCAAAAGACTGACTACTAGCTGCTTTGCGGATTTGGCGCAAAGTATTTCTTAGCGAGTGCATTCGACTTTACTCTTGTAGAATCGGCGTTTGCGTTCAAGTTGGGCCATGTACCACTGCATCTGCCGCGCGAAAGAGGAGGAGTTTCCGCTCGACCGAAGAGGAGCAGAAAAGATTAAGACCTCAAATTCTCAAGCACTTTGACTTCTCAAATATGTTATTGTCAACTGGCACAAATGGCGGAGGCAATGCCTTAATTGAGAAAGTTTTGGTCATCGGAGTGAGTGTGCAGCGACTTGAGAAGATCACGTGCGTCAAGCTCACCTGCAGATAGGACAATCGCAAAGCGACGAGCATCGTCAAAAGCATTTCTGGAGACGAAATTACTGTCAAAATCCACCACGCGGTACATCGACAGTCCACTCTGAGATCGTCAGGCAACATTAGCATCCACCTCATAGATTTCTCGGGCGATTCTCTGCGATTACTCTTCGACGATGTAAAGCCCGACGTCGTTTTTAGCACTTCATCTGGAGGCTCCTATGACTTTCAAAAGCAGATCATAGATCTTGCCATCGAGACTCATATACCCAGACTTGTCCTAGCAGAATACGACCAAGATTCGCTCAACCCCAAAATCCAAGCACGCCTACCACCGTGTCGTGAGCGTGCAAGAATCATCCAGTATCTCGAACAGAACTCGTCTCAAAATCAGCTTGAATGGATCGGGATTGCCACAGGCTGTGCACTTGACCAGGGACTTATCAGCGGCAACTTAGGTTTCGACATCAAATGGCAAAGCGTCACAATACACGGAACTGGTGAAGAGCGCTTCGCAGCGAGCTCGACAGCATGGATCGGGCGTGTCAGTCTCGCGATCCTCAAGAACTGGGAAGCCATCAAGAACCAGTACATTTTCGCCTCTGGCCTGATCGTGTCGGCCAACGAGGTCTTGGACGCATTGCAACATCACACAGGTCAGAGTTGGGGACGAGGCGAGGTCGAAATCGAAGAAGCCGTTCGCGAAGCCCATCGGAGAATGGACCGTGGCTTTCCTGATGCTGCCATGTTCCTGATGGAAAAAATTGTGCTTTGCGACGAATCGATGAATGCCGTCAAGCCATTTCTCGAGCAGGATTCCAAGACCAAATTAGATCTTGAACCTGAGAGCCTCGATGAACTCGTCAAGAATTCCCTTCACGAATTCGAGCATCGTGGCAAGGGTGGGTGTGGCTGTGACTGAGAAAGTTTTGCCTTGACATGGCCTGGCATTGCGAGAAAAAGTGTGTTTATTTTATCGATACATCGACAGTGTGCTTGCTCCGGATGTCGTGCCTAAGATCGAATTCAAAATCCGCGACTGCGTGCGTAATTGTACGGTAATACCGCAAATAGCCGGTAGTTATATTACCTTAGCCGCTTATAGCTACGACGCGCCTATTAATCTTACAACCTTATAGCAAATCGCTATACTAACTCGTACTATACTAAGCTTAATATTAGCCTTACGAAAAGGCCTTAGAAGTACTAGCTATAGATCTTAAAGCGCTTATACTATAGATATAGAGCATGTCTGGCATGCGATCGAGAAGACGACGCGAAACGCAAATTCCAATTCCGCAAGACAAACATATCATAATTTTGAAATCGTCGTATGGCATATTTCTTCAAACCAGCTCAAGCAAAAAGGATAGCATCAGAACCGCGGTGATGAATGTAGATACTCCAGCGACGGTTCGCATAGCCGAAGCCTCAAATCTCGCGCACTGCAGCTGCGCAGTCTTGCCAGACTCCTTGAAAACCAAAAATTGCGTCCTCATCAGCTCCTTTTCGTAAGTCGAGTTGTCGTCAGCGGCGTGAGTTTGGATTTGATACGCGATATCGCTATCGTTCGTTGGGCTGATGTAAGATGCATTCGAGGCTTGACTGCCGTTTGCGATTACTTGTTAAAAAGTCAGTTTGGAGGTCACCATTCGAGGGTGCAAGCAGTTCGACTTACAAGAGCTTAGAAATGTGAACCCTTCCTTTTTGTCCCAAGTATTGCTACAGCCTGCAATGCCGCCATCAATAGATCCCAGACTAAAGCTGCAAGTCTCGTCGTCGAAAGCGCTGGTAAAGGCCTGGCGCAGGGAGGTCAGGCACTCGTCGCCGAAAAGAGAGACGCAAGGATCCTGGGCGTGGACGTCCATTTTCTTCTTGACACTGTCTTCAAAGTCTGCATCGTAGCCCATGAATCCCATACACATGTTTGGAGTCTCTTGATATCGACCAGCTTCGGCCAAAGCATCTGTGTCGTTTGCGATCTTCGCGGAGAGATTGTTGTAGGTTTCATGGCCTTCCCATATGAGAGCGTATGTAGTAACAACGGCTTTTTCGGCGCCTGGGGAGGAGAGATTGCCTGGTAGCCAGTTGTCGGCAGTGTTGTATCTGACGGTCCAGTGGCCATTGTCTTGTGCGGGTCCTTCATATGTCCAGTTAAATGTTTGGTAAAGTAGAGGATACTCTGTCCCATTTCGATAGGGCAGATTGGCGTATGTATAGTTCAATATGTCTCTGCTTCCACCTCCGTAAGTCACACCATAGTAAGGTCCAGCAGCCAGAGCGGTAGTCGCAAATGCGGGCAGTGCTTGGTAGAACTTCATGGTCGGAGAGATGTTGAGTGAAATGGCCCTACCGTTCAGGATGTGGGCGTGAGTCGACATGTATAGTCCGTGCCGTCTTGAATGCTTGTGTTCAGCTTGTAATGAGTTAGTCTATCCCGTCTTGGCATACACAATAAATGCCATCATTGGCCCGTGACTCGTCTCTCTGGGGACAAATTGCAACCTTGCGTCGAGCACCAGCGCCTCACAAAAGCGCTGTTCAAGCACGAAGGATGCGCGCCAAGGCATCCAGCGTAGTCTAAAGATCGACAACATTGCGGCGCAGGCATGAAGCTGAGTCCGCACGTGAGCTCTTCTATGGCGCAGCTGCAGCAGCATCTTCAGTACCGCCCTGTTGACAGACCAGGGCGGTGAAGTGGTGGCCGGTGGTGATGATGAAGTGGACTCTCGGACCTTGTTTTGTTGTGGAATGGAAGTCCGTCGGACCGATGACATCTTCTTGGCAGTTACGTCGGTCCGACGGACTTCTTGGCAGTCACAAGCCGCGGAGTTCGCATGATCGGACGAAATAAGTTGAAGGATATGCGCATGCCATCTTCTGGTAGTACCAGCATGGAGAGAGCAGCTCAACCTTCCATAGAAATAGAGTGCTGCTTGAAACATAGACACCCAGTGGTGCATCCTACATCTCATGCTCCGAATTCATGGCCATTGAGAAGACTCCTTCATAGTAGGTAACTTGAACGCTCGTTGTGGGTATCTATGGAAGAAGCAAATGCTGCTAATCACGGCCAGCTCTATCTTCGATAACAACCGATACCTTAGCAACGTTTGCATGAGGCGGGCTGATAGGATCTCAGCGCAAGTTGCTGGCTAGCGGGTAAGCATAGTGGTGCTTGGAGCATTCGAGCTCGGGAGTTCGCTGTCGTCCACACTAAGCTCGACATCGAGACGCGATTGTAAAATTTCCAGAAAGCCGCCCCCACACTCACAATGGAGATCTCGAACGTCTAGTCGGCTGACGAAATCCCCTCCTGATCCCTCAAACCCTTCGGACGCAAACCCGGCTCCGTCTCAAGCTCCGGAGTAATCGACCCATACGACGAAGAACGTTGATACAGCGGCGGATCATCGGGGTTAACAACCGGTACCCTCTCCATAATATCCACAGTCCGCGGTCCAGAATATCGATTCCTCGCACCAAGCCACCACCATGAGAGAGCGAAGATGGCCACAAAAGCCGCGACAACAATCGCATAGTTCATATTAAGTGGTGTGACGGGATATGCGGGTGGGAAGAACAGCACCACGCTGATGAAAGCGACCCAACAGATTGCGAGGATATTGAGAGGCAAGCTTTTCCAGCCGAGAGTGTATTTTCCGCTTTCGATTTCCATGGCGTAGACCCTTCGAGCGAAGATTACCGCGATGTAACTTAGATCCAGACATGGGGCGCAGAGGTTGAAGATTGCTGTGATGGTTTGGGTTGAGCCGATGCCGATGAGGTTGAGGGCCATGCAGAAGAATGCGACGAGCCAGACGGCTTTTACGGGTGTGCCGCTCCATTCCCAGATTTCGCTGAAGTGGTCGGAGAAGGGGAGGGCTTCGTCGCGGGCAAAGGCATAGGCCATGCGTGCGTTCGCGAGCATGGCTGAGGCTCCGGTGAAGAATTGAACGAGTAGGACCATAGCGAGCATAGCGCTTCCACCGCGGTTGCCGACTGCGTTGAGGAATATCTGGGCTACGGGTAAGCCGGTTGGGGATTTTACGATGTCGTCCATGTAGGTTTCGGTTAGACAGAAGGTGAAGACGATGTTGAGGAACCAGCCTTGGAGTCCAGCCGTGATGATGGCGAATCTGATGGCGCGAGGACCTTGGATTCCGGCGTCGTGTGTTTCTTCGGACATGTGAGTGGTTGCGTCGTAATCTGTCATGACCCATGCCACGTTCAGGAAACCCAAGAGAAAGGAAAAGGCTTTGTTGCCCCAGCCAGATAGGTCGCGAAAATCGCAGAAAACGAAGTGCGCGCTGCGCAGGCCGGATTCGGTTCGTGCGGTATACACCAGCAGAACGATGCCGATGATGATGGTGGCCAAGAGGTTGATGGGCGCAAACCAGAGGATGATCTGGTGTAGCTTCTTGGTGGTTAGGGAGCAGATGATGGCGAAGATGAAGAGGCAGACGATGGCGACTACGACTGTAGTCCAAGGCTTTCTGTTTCATGTCAGTCAGCAGAAGTCAGAGATAGATGTAGAGGAGTCGAACATACGGAGAGTATGTGTAGCTGCCATCACCCAGCATTCCCGAGTTCATGCTTACTCCAGCAAGCACCATCTGCCCAATTGTGTAGGCGATCGAGGCAACTCCACATGCTTGGCCCAAGAAGTTGCACCATCCAATGCACCACGCCCAGATTGGCACGTGGTCTTCCCGAACGACCTTCTTCGTGACGAAATACATGCCACCAGCTGTTGGGTAGGCAGAGACAAGCTCGGAGACTGTAGTCTGGGCTTAGCGTCATCTTTTTTCCGCGCAAATGTCGTTGGATGGACTCACCTGAAGTGGCGATGACATATGCCATGATCGAGCCGATGAACCATGCCCATACCGAAGTTGCTGGACCTCCAACGCTGATTGGCACTCCATAGGTGGCAGGTTGAGAACCGAGGACACCAAGAATCGAGATGGCGTATGAGATTGTCGACCATCTCGTAAACTCTCGTCGCAGTTCCTGGCGATGTCAGCTTCGTTCCATGATTCTTGGGTGATCGAGTCGCAAACCTGTCTATAGCCTATCTGAGCCAGGAGTCTCTCATCGTCATCGTGTATTGTAGCCATAACAGGCCGTGTCTGGTCTTCCTGTCGAGTGTCGCTGACATTGGCGGCGGCTAACGAGCTTGCCTTCTCGGCCCTAACGCTGTGTTGAGGGTGGTCTGGATCCATATTGTCAATTCAATCGGTTCGTGTCGAGGTCAAGTCACTGTAAAAGAAAAAACTTCAAGTATATGTGACGGTCCACCGCTTCTTCGCGGCACTCACTCACGTGACTCACGTGAAGTGAAGCGGTCTTGCCATGTGGCCGTCCTGTGACACTCTCCTGCTCCCCTGAGGTCATAGAGCCGGTCTAATGCCGCCGAGCGTGTCACAGTCAATCGGCGCAGGGCCGCGAAGAAGGCAGCATATGCGGGCAGCGACAAGATGAAATATGGAATGGAAGGTCTGCCCAAGTGCGGCCGAGAACCAAAGAGGCTCCCTCCATGCGGGTTCAAGAAGACTTACCGAAGTGCAGCAGAGTGAAGGAGGCTCACGATTGGCCACAGAAGGGCGTACCGTATCTGGCGTATTTTCGCTCTCGACTCGAATGAGCAGTGACGCGACAAAGCAGCGTGTCCCGTTGATCCACTACACGCTACTCGACGAGATCTCTTCCCAGAAAGGTAGTGATGCAGGGTAGCGTGGGCGGCGGGCGTTGGTGGTTAGATCCGGTAAAAGTGCATCCTTCGACTCTCGAGTCCAAAATATACCGGAACTACTCCTGCAGGCTGATGCCGGTGTGCTGAAGCTCGACGTCAGGCCTGCAGGCGACGTGCTGGCAAAACTCTGCCGTCAAGCAAAGGAGGCTGAAACTTGCTGGAATTGCTTACCAGGATGGGAAGCGCTAGAACAATGCTGGAATCCCGCTAGAATGGGTATGCATCTCGTCTACAAGCATCCGCGATTCGGTGTCGCGATAGGCCACGAAGTCGTTGACGTCTTGGGTTGGAGCGATGTCTTTATCGAGGTCTCGCAGAACGGATGAAAGCACCTTTCGCGGCAGTGACCTTGCAGCGCACCAAGGAACACTTCAGATGATCTTAGCGGTGAGTTTGCTGGGAGGAATCCCACGCGGATTAGCTGCCGAGGTGCCGATAGCCAACTCAGCGGTGAGTACATATCGTTGCAATCAATTCACAGGTGACAGCATATCGAAGGATGGCCAGCCACATTGACCTTGCCTTGATAGGTTGCAGCTTTGGCGTGGTTACGAGAGTGTAACACTGGCAGCCGAGCTCGGCGCTGGTGAGTCGGTGAGGCACATGTGGATGAGCTGTTCATATTCATGAATGGCCATCTCCACAGAGGAGACACACAGCGAGATGCCTCCATATCACTCGATCGTCCGTTACACAGCGCACACCATATCGGGCCGCAGTTCCGCAGGCGCGCTGTGTTCCAGAGACGCCAGCCTTGTGCTACCCATGTCGTGCCATATGCCCGACATGTGCTGAGATTGCATGAACTCGGTGGGAAGCTGCGTTGTTCGCACCGGTGCCATGGAGGACAGATTCTCCGGATGGCCGTAATACGGACGAGGGTATCGGGACATCGAATTGGCAATAATGTCGTGTCTCTCGCGTGGATGAGTGCACCGCGCGGTTCGATGTGCGTGGTTGACAGAGCTAGTCCTACCCCGACGTTGTCGTAGCTGCGCACGCGTGCCCACGTTGTCAAGCGCAGGTTGGACAGTTGAGCTGAGCTGATGGTGGGCCTTGACTGACATGAGTTGATGTATTGGTTGTTTGATGACGGAAAAGGTGTACGAAGGCTGTTCGAACTCCGGAGACGTGTTGCCCCCACAGGCTTGGCGTGGGCGTGGGCGTGGGCGTGTCTCCACGTGGGCCAAATGACATGCCTCAGGCGCTCGCACGAAAAGATCGTTGAGGACTCCGTTGGGCAAAGCACTTCATCTCATTGACCATCAGACTATTGCACCGAACAGACACCACGGCAGCTCCTGCACTGCTGGTGTGCAGTCGCAAGGCGAGGCCAGGTCAGCTCACACAAACGGTCATGTTTGCTAGCCCAACGCAGCGGCTGTGGCAAGAATCGCCCAGATAACAATTCAGCAGCATACAGTACATCGGTACGGTCCTTCCTTATTGGGAAGACACGGGCCCACCAAGTGAAGAGACCCGAGGACATATTAGACCATCTTGCAACACCCACGGCTATGACATCCATCGCGAGTCTAGCCCAACGGTGGCTCTCTCAAGACAAGGATAAAAACACAAGACTCGAGATAGAGCAGCTGCTGAGAGACAGCAACCATGCCGAACTGGAACTTCGACTCAGAAAGCGAATCGCTTTCGGCACTGCCGGTCTTCGTGCATCCATGAAAGCCGGGTTCGCTTTCATGAACTCACTCACAGTCTTGCAAGCCTCCCAAGGACTGGCCGACTACATACTCGCACAGAGTGCATCAAGCTCCAAAGAAAGCCCAAGCATTGTGGTCGGCTATGACGCTCGCCACAATTCTGAGAGATTTGCGCGCCTTGCAGCTGCAGTTTTCCTGGAAAAGGGCTTTACAGTCCTCTGGTTTGGCCAGCTTGTGCACACTCCCATGGTCCCCTTTTCAGTCACCCATTACGCGGCAGCGGCAGGTGTGATGGTCACAGCTTCGCATAATCCCAAGAACGACAACGGATATAAGGTGTACTGGTCAAATGGCAGCCAGATCATTCCTCCTCATGACGTCGGTATCGCTGCTGCCATAGACCATGTCCAAGACATCGCAACATGGGATGATTCACTTGTTGATAGTCACGAGAATGTCCGCAACGTCTTCTCAGATGCCGCCAAATCCTACTTGGACCATGTCCGCGAGCTCGTGTGGCCACTTCCGACTGTCGAGCAAGCCATGCCTTTTACTTATACACCACTGCATGGCGTAGGTTTGAAGTTTATGAAGCAGATAGCTTATATGCTATGGTTCACCACATCGATGCGAGAAGTTGCCGCACAAGCTCAGCCCGATCCCGAGTTCCCGACAGTTCCATTTCCGAACCCAGAGGAGAAAGGGGCTCTAGATCTTGCCATACAAGAATCAAGCAGGCATCATACCGACATTATCCTGGCCAACGATCCAGATGCCGATCGTTTCTCCGTTGCACAGCGCCTAAGTCGCGGCCAGTATCATCAGTTCACAGGCAATCAAATCGGCATCCTTTTCGCATCACACGTTTTTGAGACATTTCCAGGCGACAAAAGCAAGCTAGCCATGCTCGCTTCTACGGTATCCTCACGAATGTTGGCAAGCATGGCAGCGAAGGAGGGCTTCCACTTTCAAGACACTCTCACAGGGTTCAAGTGGCTTGGAAATGTTGCACAAGATCTGAAGAAGCACGGCTACGAGCCAGTTTTCGCCTTCGAAGAGGCCATCGGCTTCATGTTTCCTTCCGTGGTCTGGGACAAAGATGGCATTGCAGCTGCCGCGGTGTTCCTGATCGCTTGGCAGAGGTGGAAGAAGCAAGGCCTAACACCGTATCAAAAACTCCAGCAGCTTTACGAGGCTTATGGTTATTTCGAAGATGCCAACACATATCTGATCTCGCCTTCGCCTGATGTGACGAATAGAGTGTTCAACGATATTCGTGTTTCCAATGCAGGCGAACGACCCGAAAAGCTTGGGAAGCGGATTATCGGACGTTGGCGAGACCTCACGCTTGGCTATGACAGTGGCACTGCAGATCATAAGCCCGTCTTGCCTGTCGATGCTACTGCTCAGATGATTACTTGTGAGCTTGGCAATGTGGTGTTCACAGTCAGAGGCTCTGGAACGGAACCGAAGATCAAGCTTTACATCGAAGCAAAAGGCGACTCCTCGCAGACTGCGAAGGCGGAAGCGAAGGAGGTGCTGCAAGATTTGTTGGCGGAGTGGTTCAAGCCGGAGGTTTATGGCTTGAGACTGGCTGGGAATTGAGCAGACGATTGAAATTTCGATGCTTATATAAACGATGGGCTGAACGCCCCAAACAGGCGAAGACAGTCTTACCTTTCGTATTTTCTCGCAATCGGGGAATATGTTGTTCAGCAGACATGATCTCAGCACTATGGGGATAGGTAGATCTTCATCATCGCAAGCGTAGCAGAAATGTACCACGACCTGTCCCTGCCACGATTATGAAAGTACCACAGGAGGATGTCATTGTCCAAACCGAACACCACAAACAACAGCCAAACCAGTTCACTTCAGAGACCGGCAAACATGAAGACCTTCTTCGCTATTGTAGTCGCAGCTCTCCTTGCTGCGACTGCTTCAGCTGCATCACGTCCAATGTATGTCCTTGTTTGATCTAGCGAAGCGGGATTGCAGCACTTGCGACAAGCTTGGTTGCTTTTGTGGCGGTTGCGTAATTAATATCAACACCGTCGTTATCTCCGACTACTACTCACAGTTTGAATAGTCTGGATGTTGTGGCACATGCAAAAGATAGGAAGGAGCGTACGGACGTTGAATTGGAATTGTGGGCTCGGGTGGTGTTGGATGGTGGGTCGAATATCGCAGCGGAAGGAACGTAATGAGCCGGTACGCATGGATGATCATGAGAAATGCCTGCTGCACCCGTTGTCGCTCGTTTGGACATCTTGCATCGTCTGTGAGGTATATGGGAAAGGGCAGCTCTACAAAAAAAAATGAGCCGGTTTGGCCTGGGTTGAGGATTCTTGTTTCTTTTGGAAATGGTGATCGATGTACTTTATCGTTCTAAGGCAACATTGGTTAATGCGAAATTCAGGTGGTACATCGCGTTCACATCCCTAATCGTGTCCTCGTCGAGATTGTTACCGTTCAATGCCTTGAAGATCTGCTTGAAGCGCCTCAAGTACGACTTCAAGGAGATGGATTTTTGCGCCGTTCGTTCCGCATTTGCGACGAGCCGGCAGATGAATGTCTTGATATAGGATGCCTTTACTTCGCAGTGTCTAAGGGCTTCTGAGGAGTCGCCGAGGCTGGCTGGCTGCCAAACAGAATCTGTGTGGTCATATCGACGCCGTAGAGCTGTCCGATATACAATGGTTGGAGGGAGCCTACCTGAGAATACATGGAGTTGGACTACCTCCATTCAGGCGCTTCGTGGTTGAATTCGTGTGTATGCTCGTGACTTCCATTTCTACACTATACCACATTAGGTTTAGCGCCATTCGAGATCTCATTCTAGCGAAGCGCCTAAAGCCAAACCGTTGCTAGCGGGTACAGGTTGCGTTACTACTACCATATTTTATGTCGAATAGGCTATATAGCTTAATAACTATTAGTCGCAGTATAGCACTTTATAGAGACGGGACCTAGATAATTTAGCGATTAAGAATATCCGCTATTTTAATAAGCTAGTCGCTTTAGAAATGCTAAAGTTATTATCGATAAACGTAAATTGCTACTCTCGACTAACTCGTTTACCTACCTCTATATACTTTATAAGTAAACAAACGACGCCCTTCTACGTTAATAAAGTATAGGGGGTCTACCTTTCTAGTACCCTCTACAACCTCCGTATATCTATTTACTATGTAATTTAGTCGTATACTCGTCTCGACTCGGTAGGGCAAACTAACCCTTTAGCCTCTAATATCTCGCTATTTCTAACGTAGACGAGAACTCGATAGCGAGAAGTCGCGCGTAGGTACGTATAGCGAAGAAGTTAATCGGATAGCCCTAATTAAGGACCTCTAGGTATTGACGTATTAACTTAGTATATAGCGATATATTAAGAATCGGTGTATTTAGATAGGCGGATAGCTATAGAAGTAGGCTCGGCTAAATTAGTATAACTTAGCGCGTATACGTCGCATATACGAGATTTTTAGATCGTTAGACTCGCAATTAGTAGGGCTACAACCTCCTCGTATTGGATTTACTAGTTGTCGTTTGTATAGCGAGATCGTATTTTAATAGCGGAATCTACGATAAAAATTAGCGGTTTAGCTTTAGGCTTTTAGGTAAAGGATTAGGTAGAGTAGTATATAATTGGTTATTCGGAAAGACGGAAGCTAGCCCTAATTTAAATCTATTACGTGCAATCTAACCAATTCACTACCGCGCAACGTAATCCTAAATGCACAAAGGCCTAAACGGAGGTAGGAGTTAGAAGGAGCCTTACGCTTAAATAGTAAGAGGCTGAAACGGAGGTAAGTTATTAGTAGCAATCTGATTTGTTCTCGAGCTCTACGTAGCTCCTCGATTTTGCTCTAGGTGCCTGTTTTGATCTGTCGCTACGCTCGAATTTTATGGATGGCTTTACATGTATCACAGTATCAAGAACAAGAAGCATGTGCGGTCTGTCACGTGGCCTGTGAGTTTCAACTTGGAAGGCTTCGGCGATAGCCGCAGCAATTAGAGTTTGCCGGCCGCTGACAAAGACCGGTCTAGTCCGCCTTTCTGCCTGCCATCTCCGCTGGCCCTTCTTCCGGCGCTTTCTCTTTCTTCCACTCTCCATCATCATCAGCCTCACCACCGCAGTCTTGTCACCTCCCTTCATCATCCCCGACCACGACAGCCGCCGCACACTTCAAGACACTAACATCACGACTGCGACGACTTCAAATTCCTCCCTCACTTTCGCACGCCGCGCCTGCTGTTGCAGCGCCCGGACGTCGGTGAGCAGGCGAAACGTCTCAATCACAAGGCAAGAACAATCAGATCAGAAAGAGCGAGGGTATTGGGTCTAAGACTTCTGTCTTCACTGCATACGAACTGTGCCAGTCCTTGTTGAATAGTGTTTCATCGCGCCGAGTCTGCGTCACTGCGCTCGTGCCGCCACCCGTTATCTGTCGCAGGCAGTTTTCATTCAATACAAAATCAAGGTCGTGTCATTCTTGAGCTAGTCGGCAGCGCCTTCGGTTCATCTACTGTACACCACCGTTTCCTCCACTTTGCACTGTGTATATTGCTCGAAAGCAACGGACTCACCTCAAATCACTCCAAGTACCGCGCCAGCGGTCTCGATCTCAGTAGCGTTGCCTACTACACTCTCTGTGGAGCGACTTCGACACATCCGACACCATGTCTTCCTCCATCTTCTTCAGATTCAAGTCCTCAAAGGAGCCCATGCAGATCAATTTCGATGGTACCAGTCTTTCCGTGTTTGAGGTCAAGCGCGAAATCATCAACATCTCCCGTTTCGGCGATGGCAGGGACTTCGATCTCGAGATTTTTGCCTCTGATAGCAGCGAGGGTAAGCATTCATCGGATAACAATTCATCACGTGCGCATGTGCTGACATCTCCAGTTTACGACGATGACACCACTCAAATCCCACGCTCAACCACAGTTATTGCTCAGCGGCGCCCAGCAGCCAAGCCAGGCGCTGGACGAGCAGCTCGATATGTAACTGGCCATATGCCAAGCTATGCAAAGAATCAGCATCGCGTTGAGAAGGGAGTCATTGGGAAGAGCACAGCCGTGGGGGCTGGTGCTATCGATACGAGCAATATGACGGAGGAGGAAAAGCTGCAGGCTGTAATGAATGCTAGCAATACCCAGTTGAAAGCAGATCTTGAGTCGTCAGCGAGCGTGCCTGTTAAGCGCGGTAACTACAAAGCTGCAGTACCTGATAAGCCGCTTCCACCAGGCTACGTCTGCTATCGGTGTCGACAGCGGGGTCACTGGATCCAAGCTTGTCCAACTAACAACGATCCCACATTCGACGGCAAGAAGCCGAAGCGTACCACTGGTATCCCACGCTCTATGCTTGAGAAGATTGAGGAACCAGACACAACCAAAGAGCTTCCACAAGGTGTCTTCATGACTAACGATGGTGATTACGTCCGCGTCAAGACTGATGAAGCCACCTGGCAGAAGCTGCAGGAGCAGCAGAAGGCCACTGCCGAGAAGGCTAAGGAGCTTGCTCAAGGTGACGAAGAACTTCGTGAGCGTGGTCTGGAATGTATGCTTGATAAACGACCATTTGTCAATCCCGTTCAGACACCTTGCTGCCACATGACGTACTGTCAAGACTGCATTGAGAACGCCCTTCTGGACAACGACCTGATCTGCCCAAATTGTGGCGAGCAAGCACTTCTCGACAAGCTTGAGCCCGACGACAAGAAAGTCAAGGAACTGGCCGACTACGAGAAGGAGAAGAAAGCTGAGAAGCAGCAAAAGGAAAAGGAGAAGTCGAAGACTCCAGAACCGTCCAAGCCTGCAGACACCAAGTCACCGTCCGCCAACGGAACACAAGCCAAGACCAATGGCGCCAACTCGCCTTCACCATCAAACTCCAAGAAGCGAGGTGCGGAAGAAGAACTTGAGAACAAGCGACGTCCGAGCAACCCAGCAGAAATGAGGAAGGTTGCGTCAAACCAAGGCACACCCGCACCAGGCGCCAAGTCTGCTACAGCAAAGGCAGAACCACCGAAGGGACCCAAAGCCATGACCGGCGGCACCACTACAACCGGCAACACGGAAATCGACTTCCAGAGCGTCATGAAGAGCATGACAATCCCTCAGGGGCAAAACGGCATGAACGCCATGGTGAACCCAATGATGATGAACGGCGGCATGCCAAACTTCATGAGCATGGGCATGCCGCCGATGGGTATGGGTATGCCAGGTGTGGGATTTCCGAACATGAATATGATGAATGGGATGGGCTTCCCGAACATGGGCAGCATGAACGGCATGAATGGAATGAACGGAATGAACGCCATGAACGCCATGAACGCCATGAACGGTATGGGCTTCCAGCAGCAGTCCTGGCAGAATGGTCCACAGCAGCGCAACGGACCTCCTACCGGACCTGCTGCTGCTCAGCAGAATGGTGCGTACTTTCGACAACCTGTCAACCCGCATCGACATCAGAACAAGGGCAGGAGGCAACGAAGTGTGGATTACAAGCAGATGTAGTATCAAGAGTGCAGCGAGGAAATGCGTCGATGCGAGGCGAAGCGAAAGGGTATCTCATGAGTTGAGAATCTCGGAAAGACCACTATTACGAACCAGGACATCTTGACGATTAGCGATGGCGTTGGGTTGGATTGAGCTGCACTCTCACTCGAAGGAAGATGATGAGAGACCGCGACACGATACGGGCATATGGTCATGGTGGTGGCATTCATTGGTTTTTTTTTTCAACTACTATCATACGAGGCGGATTGCAGGTCCTCACAGCTGCTGGGCGATTTAAACAGGTCGCGCTGAAACTTCAGAGATCGGTTCTCCATTCGTCATGTCGAAAATCTCTTACACTATTCTTTCTCACTGTAAGCTGCTTTCATTCTGGAAGGTGCCGAGGAGGACACGCATCTTGTACCCAGCAAATTGCATGCCCTTTTATTGTGTTGGTAGGTGAGGGTAGAATTCGAGGCCGAGCAAAGCGCAGCGTTTATCCCTCTCAGCATCTCTCGCGTTATTACTGCGACCACAGGCTGATCACTCTTTTGTGGCCTGAGAGGTGTACTCGACGTCGAAGTTAGAGTTTGGGAGGGCAAGAATGTCGGGCTTGGCACTACAGACCTCCGATGATTAGCTTGTCTTTCTCTCCACAGTCGAAAATCTCCCACTCATCACCAGCAAGCACATCGATTCCTGTCCGAGAAAGCAATCATTGCCGGAGACAATTCGCCATGGCACCAAAGAAGAGCAGCAAGACCAGCGACAGCATCAACGCCAAGCTTGCCCTGACGATCAAGGTGCGCATTGACTGAAGTTGGAGCATCGCATCGCATCGCAGAAAACTGACATCTTTCACAGTCGGGTAAGGTCACCCTTGGCTATAAGTCGACCCTCAAGTCGCTGCGCTCTGGCAAGGCCAAGCTCGTCATCATCGCTGGCAACACTCCACCTCTCAGGAAGTCGGAGCTCGAGTGTACGTCGAAAACGACTCTAAATGGAGGACGCGCAAGAGACTGACAGGAAGATACAGACTACAGCATGTTGGCCAAAACCGCCGTGCACCACTTCTCTGGCAACAACGTAAGTGATATCGCGCGATGAAAATACCAAGCACCTGGCGAAGGAGCCTCATGTGGCTCTGGAGGGTGCGCTCTCTCGAGCCCTGAGAAGAAGCTGCCGTAGCTGGGTGGCTTCGGAGGGATGAACAATTACTGACAGGACGTGTGATCGCAGATCGAGCTCGGCACTGCCTGCGGTAAGCTCTTCCGCTGTTCGACCATGGCTATCCTCGATGCTGGTGACTCGGACATCCTCAGTACAACCCCACAGTAGAGCGACTGAGAGACTTGGATGAAGCAAAGACGGTGGTCAAGATACAAGCATAGGATGGAGCAGCTCCGTTCCGTCAGAGAAAGCTGTGCTCAGCGAGGACGAGACCGCAGAGTAGCGAAAATAGAACTCTGCCGCTGCGGAGAAGTCGATATGTTTGAGGCATGACACCCACCATGAATGCCATGTTGCGTCTTCGGATAGATAGACAGCCCGCAGAGCGTTCAATTGCACCGTCCAGCCATCGTGACTCACTTCTTCCTGTCTCTTTCGTGAATTCCCGAATGGCCAGTGCGATCTCAGAAAAGTAACGTTCACGTGATTGGTCAATTTAGCGAAGTGGCCGATTTCAAAGCACGGTGCCAAGACTGTTCGCCGCCCACAGCCAGGACTTCAAAGGAAGTTACGTCGTGCTTCTTCTCTCCCGACACACACCCAACGACACCAATCCAATACCGTCGAAATGGCCCGCCGTCCAGCACGTTGCTACCGCTACTGCAAGAACAAGCCGTACGTCGAAATGCGCTCACACTTGTGGGAAATTGGCTGACACTGTACTCAGATATCCAAAGTCGCGATTCGTAATTCTCCCCGTCCTCCATCGCTACGGCCAGCGACATATACTGACTCTCGCAGAACCGTGGTGTGCCCGACCCAAAGATCCGCATCTTCGACTTGGGCCGTAAGCGTGCGAATGTCGACGAGTTCCCAACTTGCATCCACTTGGTCTCCAACGAGTATGAGCAGTTGAGCTCCGAGGCCCTCGAGGCCGCCCGTATCTGCGCCAACAAGTGCGTATACCCCAGAGACACCTCCATATAGCGATATGAAGAGGAGAGGATGTGAAGCAGTCAGAACAGAGACTGACTTCAATACACAGGTACATGGTCAAGACCGCTGGAAAGGAAGGTTTCCACCTCCGCGTCCGCGCTCACCCATACCACGTCGTCCGCATCAACAAGATGTTGTCGTGCGCTGGTGCCGATAGATTGCAGACTGGAATGCGTGGCGCTTTCGGCAAGCCAAACGGCACTGTCGCTCGTGTCAACATTGGCCAGATTCTGCTCTCCATCCGTACTCGTGACTCTCGTACGTTGCATCATACTTCTACTACCACCTTCTTGCGCACATCCTAACATCATTCCCAGACCGCGCCACCGCCATCGAGGCTCTCCGCCGATCGCAGTACAAGTTCCCAGGTCGCCAAAAGATCATCGTCTCCAAGAAGTGGGGCTTCACTCCTCTCAACCGTGAGGAATACATCGAGAAGCGCAAGGCTGGTGCCGTCCGTGTCGACGGTGCTTACGTTCAGTTCCTCAGCAAGCACGGCCCGATCGAGCACAACATGAAGCGATTCCCAGACGCTTTCTCCGCTGAGGCATAAGCGTGAGGAGGGTTGGGGATTTTCGTTTCACGTTTGACATGAGGCATGGCAGATGGGAGATATCACGACTGAAAATTACGGTCGTCTCTAGAGCAGAGGCATGGCGTTGAACTGCTTTGGGTCTATATCCTGCTGTATGGAAATGGTGATGTCTGAAAGTCAAGTGCTCCGTCTCTGAATTCCTCGTGTTAAGCATCATCACATCATTTGCATTGATCTGACCCTACCAACCAGCGCTCGCGACTCTGACTCACATTCCAGCCACCATGGTGCCGATTGACGTTCAAATTTGCGCAAAACGCTTCTGTCCTGCAATCATTCCACCCCCTTTACCACCATCCATCCTTCCAGTCCCGTTCTATACCAGTGCATTCCCACAACCAACTCCGTCCTTCCATTATACATCCCGACCAACCTGATCACGTCCCGGATCGAATCGAATCGCGAGGCCTCGTGGTAGCCCTACAACTATTCACATGCTAAGATATTTCCTAATAATGAGGTGGGCGTTTGTTGTTGGGAGATTTCGAGGGCGAGAAAGAGAAGATAAGAGAAGAGAAGAATTATAGTGAAGATTTGCGATTTTTGTTTCGTGACTGGACGTGTTGTGATGAGTAAATAGGTGTAATGCGGTTTTCTTTGTTGGTATGGAAATCAATCTTCTGGATTGAGGATATGGATCATTCGGCTGGGAGGGAGGAAGAGGAGTGAGAAGGAGTACCTAGGGTCAAGAGTCTGTGTTGTATTATGGTGGTGAAGTCTTCTTGTTCTTCTTTTCTTTCTCTAGAAAGATGGAAGGTTTGACCTTGTGCTTCTACCACAACATCCAGAGGAGCACACTTATGACACCTCTGTCGGTACCAGGGCTAGGAGATCCCTTTTTTCTTGTGACAACATGTCGGGAATGGAGCATCATGAAGGTGCCGGAGAAGAAGAAGACACCGAAGCTGAACGTGAATCAACATCAGCACGTCGGGAGCAAGAGGTCGTCGAGTTTCTTGTGATGCCAACTTGATAGCATGGAATTCTTCGGCGAAGTTGTGGAGATTCGGATTCTTGATTGCTTCGGATTCATGCTGGAACGCTGCGGCGCGGCTTTCCAGGTGAGAAAGAAATTCTTGGTGGATGAGATGAAGATGGATTCAAGAAGGCCTGATCGAACGAACCTATTGTGGGTTCTTATTCATGTGCTATGATCGTTCCTTAATGCTGGTCTCATTTGTGCGGAATGTTATGAATTTGTTCTCTGTGAACTGGTGACCAGGAAGCTTCGTGAAGTGAAGCGGAAGCGGTTGCATGCTCGTGGTTCCGAAAGTCAACTCTTGATCTGTACGATTGAGCCGAAGCGCTGCCAACCGGTGGGGAAAAGGACCTTGCTGAGACTGATTCGCAATCTATGAGGCTTGGTGGACACTACAAGCATGTATTACTGCAGTCGCTCCCACTGCCTTCACAGCCTCTCTTTTCCGCCGGCAGCCCATCACTGCCCTCGCTCACCTCAAAGGTGCCTCAGCACTCTGGGCTGCATGAATCCTTGAGCAGTGCCCCAACGTTCACCTCTCTGTCTTCACAACTTTTTTTTCGACTCCAGATCCACGAAGATGATGCTCATTCCCCTTGTCGGCCATGGCTCATTGAAGAACTTCCCCAATACAAGGTAGTAGTATCGCAACTTGAACTGACAAAGATGTTGTGAATGCCGGGTACCACTCCCAACGAACCCTCCTGAGCAATAAGCTCTGTCAGATTGTGATCAAGCGTAGCATTGAGCTATAATCTCTCAGCATCCTGACTTCAGGTATCTCACAGCTGTACTGACCGATTTTCGGAAAACAAAGCTCAAAAGTCGTGACATTCTGCGAGTACAGCTCCCCCAGTATATAGCTTCGCATCACCAGGGTTTGTGGTGATTATGGCGGTCTTGAACTTTCCAATAATCCCATCCGTCTTTTCGTCCGTCAAGAATTTCGAGCTCGTTCCCTTCTCTTCACACCTTCCGCCTTTTACGACCGGCCCGCCTGGCACTGACAGAAGCTGGTCTCTTCTCATGTCCATTCCCGGCAGCATGCTTCTGATGCTTATTATTCGACCGCACCGAAACGAAAGGAAGCGACAAAAGAGCGCCGACGAGGAGCGTAAGTGGAGAGCCGGCCATGCATGCTACTCGTGTAGGTATCCCAAGAAGGTGGATTTCCGTGGCGTCTCTGTATCCGGCATTCGTATATATGCTCCGCACCAATATTCCACATCGCAGGCAGTTGTCCTCGCAATGTCATCATATTGCATGCACTCCTCTCTGTCTTGATATGGAGGTCCTTGTGAGCATCAGCAGCTCATCGTCTAGAAATCTGGTATCATGTCGGGATATGCAGGTATTGAGGAGTCTTAATCTTATTGCCAAGGTTTCAGTCTCTCGCATTGACACTTCGATCTTCGGCTGCTTCTCGTATGGACGGCTGAATCGTGTCCAGTTTCGTTCCGGCTCTGGATGCTTCATTCAGACCACCAGCTGATGAGGGCGAATTACATAGCATCCGTTTTCGGGACAGACCTGAAGGCGAGATTGCGAGTTTCACGCTCCGGTGCATGCTCATGCTGCTGTACTCGCTCCTGAGTACTTTGTTCCCACAATGGATCGGGCCAAAGCCTACGGCACTGATGGCTAGATTGTGCGTAGATCTGCTAGAGAACGCCATGACGACAGCAATGGACGACGATTATCTTCAGTCTCGACCGAGAGGCTTGGGGTATTTCATGTTACTGCTGAGCCATCCAGTCCCCGTTCGAGCCATGGACCGGTAAGAAGAATGCATCGAGGATAGCTGTAGACGGACCACAAAAGCGGAAGGCGGAAAGCGACAGCCTCTGACACCCACGTAGTACTGTACAAGAAGTACTTCAATAAGCCAGGCAGCGTGCTACAAGGCGGTATCACAGCCAGCATGGCAGCACGTCGTGGCTGGAGCTCGTGAAGGCAAGGAATGTCACGCGCGTACAATGTGCCATCTGCGCACATCTATGGTCGCAGTTCTCCGGCAACAACGCATTGATGTACTACATTGTGTACATCTTCCAAATGGCGGGCATCAATGGCAACCGGCAGCTTATCGCCGGGGCAATCCAATACTGCATGCATCAGCGTCGGAGTACAGGTCTTTTCCTTCACATTCATGGATCACTACCGCCGACGCTGGGCCTCGATGGCTGGCTCTGCGCTACTGGTTGCGTGGCTCTTCGCAGCTGCTGGCTTGATGGCAAACTACGGCCACGCCGTACCAGGCGGTCTCAATGGAGTGCCCAGCGTGACGTGGGTGGTCGACAATGGCGCCGCATCGAAAGCCATCATTGCTTGCGCCTACCTTTTCGTAGCATCCTATCAATTGACCCGGGGACCGATTGGCTGGGTCTACCCATCTGAGGTCCTACCGACGTACATTGCTCTGACCTTTTTCACTCCACCCGCGTTCCAGAACATCCAGTGGCGGGTGGGTGGCAGATTTCATTTCCACAGCCATAGTCAACGGTAGTATTCGCACAAAGTATCTGGGCATTCAAGATCAAGCATACTGAAAGCAGGCTTGTCGAAGACGTGGTGGAAGTTCGGAAGGATGTTGGTGCTGCTGCAGCAGATGTCGAGCGACTCGAGCATACGACTAAGGACGCAAGCGTGTAACGCAAACAATGCTGAACTCGCACAGGATGCTGTCATACGACAAGACTACACAAAGCTCTAGGGATAAAGACTAGCTGACTTTGGTACTGCATCTGCCTCTGCGGATCGGTTTGATGAAGAGTTTCTGATTAATGCTGACATTATGCAGGTACGCCCCCCATACAACCTACGATCGAACTCAAAGATCACCGGTACCCTCGCACTGCGAATGTTTGTGACTCGCACATAGCCTTGTCGGCTCAATTCCCCTGTCACGCCGCTTTATTCTCGCACACCAAAGCTTTCAGTTCTGCTGAGACAACGTAGGTCCAGTCCGGCCCGACTCTGAAGCTGTTGGGAAAAAGCTGCCAGAGTTGCGAGAGCGAGTGCTAGAGGTCCAACTGGATGTGCTATTCAACGAACGTCTCGTCGTGTTTGACGACGTTTGCGATGTGCTAGATCCGGACACTGTAATGGTAAACGAGGTGATTGGAGGCTCACGCTGCTGTTCTATAGTGGTTGCTGGTCTCATAGCCTCTTCTCCCCCAAGATCCGGGTTTGCCGCCTTATTGGGGACGTGCTGCTGCTTGACAAAGCTGCAATGAAGGATATTCGTGACGCTGGGAGGCGAAGAGGTTGAACATCCACACGGAGATGTTGAAGTTATGGTCGAATACGTGGTATCGCAAAGAGTCAGAGTAGGTGCATCGATTGGACCCCGGAAATTTACGTAGGATGTCTGCAAGGCGGCGCATTGCTTGATGCTCTCGAGGCCCAGACATGCAGGATCTTCGGACAGGCCTTCCAAGTATTCGACAAGCTGAGGAGCGACTGGGACGGAAAAGTAGAGGGTGTTGTCGGAAGTGGTTGTGGAAGGCGTTGCGGTGAGCGGGAATATGAATGAAGCAGCTGTGGTCTGAGGGGGAAGATGAACGGCAGTTGTGCTCATGCTCCCAGTGCAGACGCTTGCTCCGTCGATGATTGCAGGTGTTGCTGTGAAGGAGTCTCGCTCAAAGCCCAAGTATTGGACGTAAGTGTTCGGATACGCCCTAGGGAGGAAGGAAAGGTCAGAGAAAGCACCACCTACCAGGCCTGATTTGGACTGACTTACATTGAATAGTTCGCAAAAGTCCATGTCATTTGACTCTCGTCTGAAAACGTCGGGCCATTGAGCAGGTGCGGATCAGTGACGGTCGGGAATTCGGTTGATGTGCTATACTCCGTGCACACGGTTCCATTGGGATAGATCTCGACGATCGGGAAGACGTGCTCCGTGATGGTCGCCACGAATGTGTATGGGAATGAATGAAGCGTGGCGGAAGTTGCTCCAAAGAAACAATCCGGGCATGTGAAGCTTGGTGTAGGTGATGGAGCGTAAGTGGGATAGACGGAAAATGAAGGAGTGCTCGCTGGGATTTCGGTGAGTTCATGGACAGACAGACATACAGACGGACGGACACATGGCTTGGTTCACTTACTAGCGGGTGTGAGTGCCATGGCTTAGCTTAAGCTTGCGTGGCAGAAACAACGAACGTGGAAGAGTGAGTTTGAACAATGGGGTTTGTGCAAAGGTACAATGGAAATGGAAATCTTTTGGTTCCTTCTGTACCTCACATGTCAGCGGTCGTGCGTGAGGAGTTCGGTCGCCTTGGTACCACTGTGCAACAATTTGTACTTGCGGGATGCGGCATGTGTCGAACTTCCGGCCAGGAAACACGCTGGCACTGTGAGACTTCACTCGCAGCTTCGTCTCTCCTCAGATATCATGTTGGCTCGACTGACAAGTTCAACGGCAAAGGTTGGTGAACCGCAGAATCTTACGGAGCCTGCTTTGGCAAGACGCACGACTGCAAGACTATCTTACTTTCTTGATCACAAGCTGAGACTGATCTTCTGAGCAAGACTATGACTTGAGATTGGACACCTTGTGTCCGAGACGCTAGTTGTCACTTCTTGAATAATGACCGTTCCGCCGCCCATGTTTCGTTCTTCGAAAGTCGCAATCTGTCAATCTCAATTGTGTCCGCACACGGACAGATGTCACAATGGACTCGCCGCCGCATGCGATTGTTCTGCAAGCCACAGGGAGATGGCAAGGCATGGAGCCGAAATGGAGCACGTTCTCCCTCAACATCGGTTCGAATCCTTCACAGACATTCGACTTTCTTCCTTCCATCTCCAGCTCGCAAATATGGCTACCGGATCCCAATCTGATTTGTCCCAAATCGAACGAAAGCGTTAAACATAGATGTCTCGAAAGTCGAGGCATTCCCCTTGGAACTTCCTCGCTTGATCGGTCTTCAACATGGCTTTCGCAAGGAACTTATCACTTCCTTCAGCATCCTTTACTGTTCTCATACATGACTGGAGACTTTGGCCAAGATACCGTCGCGCTTACCACAACTTCGACTTCAGCACAAGCCGTAGCGGAGAACCAGCTCGTAGCTCAATATGGTCTTGAGGATTACTGGATCGGGCTTGCAGGATTGACGTATCGAAGCACGCCGTTAGGAAATGGTTCTACTTCCAGCTTACTCACTTCTTTGAAAGAAAACGGCACAATTCCCAGTCTTTCTTTCGGCTACACGGCAGGATCAGTTTATGGTAAGGTATGTCCAAGGCTCCTAAGAATGTAGCAGAATTGTAACCAGCTCCTAGGAGACGATAACTTCGGCGCCCTCACCTTAGGAGGATACGACGCCTCTCGTCGTTCTCCGCAACCTACTGAGAACCTGGAAGTCTCGATGGACCGCACTAAAAACGAGCTGAAGGTCGAGCTTCTCGACATTAGCGTGTCGAACGGCAGCACTGGAGGTCAAAGAACACTTCTCCCCATCGGCAAAACTTACTCAATGTTTCTGGATACTTCTGTTTCAGAGTTCTGGTTTCCAAGCGAAGTATGCGACTTGTTCCAAGGCTCCTTCAACCTAACCGAAGACCTTGAGACAGGGCTGTTCGGAATTGATCACACTTCAAGGCAGGCGATGTTCGATAACAATACCTCGCTGAGTCTCGTTCTGGGAGGCTCGAGTGATGCGACGACGAAGCTGAAGATTGATCTTGGCTGTGAGGCTTTTGGGAACTTCTCATATTTTCCTATCAGGAGAGCTGTCGACGAATCGAAATTTGTGCTTGGACGCGTGTTCTTTCAAGAGACTTACATTACTGTTGATTGGACTTGGAAGAATTTCACTCTGAGTAAGGCGCAACCACGCGTGCGAGGCATTGCACCTAATCCGCAGGATATTAGTACTCCTGAGATAGCTCCACCCGCTCCTCCTCGACTGAGCAGTGGAGACAAGGCTGGCATCGCCATCGGTTGTCTGATGATCGTCAGCCTTACTTTGGGGCTTTTGTGGTGGGTTCGTCGTCGAAGGCAGCAGCGAAGGTATCGAAGGGCTCTGGATGCAGCGGGTAGTCCGGAAGCAGCAGCTGAAGCAGTGAAGGACGGTGATAAGAAACCTGAGCTCATATCAGTGAATGGAGATCGAGACTTTCTGGCTACATGTCACTTCAGATCAGGGAGTGAAGAGCTTGATTCCATTTCGCTCTCCTTGCCGGTCTACAACCCGAAAGAACTCATGTCAAAACCTTTCTTTGAAGCGAATGGACACGAGGTCGCTCATGAGCTGAGCGCAGACGCAGACTCCACATCGCGATGAGTGCCGCGCACGTATAATTTCTGGTCTGTTCTCAGCCTTCCCGCATCAATTGGAGCCACATCTAAGGACGAAAAGCCAGTTTGGACGTTGAACAACGAAGGGATGTTGATCGGTAGCTTGAAGAAGGTTTGGAGCTCGTATCACCAGCACTACTGTGAGGTCGTGGTCGTGGGTATGGGTATGGGTCCAGATGCAGTTCATTGTCAGGCGTTCTTGAAGCATTTCCTCCTCCTTACTCGCACGTAAAGCAAGCAAGTCGTAGCCAGCACATCGCCATCAAGCTCCGTACAAACAGTTCCTAGTACTCCCCACTCCTCCCTTCACAGCAACGCCGCCAACACCACAAACCCTCCACTTACCACCCCATAAACCAAACTCTGTCTCTGTCCTCCCACCAACCTCCAAGCACCTCCCTCTTTCTCATCACCACTATTCGTCCGATTATACAACGTCAAAGCCAACCTCCCCCCACAAATCTGACTCGAGTTCCCATCACACGCAAAATCACATCTTGCCGTCTTATTCAATTTCTCCGATAAAGCTGAAAGGTACTCGCTGCAATAGCATTCTCTCCCGTATTCCAAGCCTGCGTATTGCATTGATGCTTCGCCACAGAAATTTAAACAGGTGCTGATTGTCATGGTGTTGTTTGCTGACTTTTGCACGCAAATATGTCAGAGATAAAAAAGAAAAGTAAAGCAAAGTGTATATAAATCGTGGGTTCCCATTACTCAAAGCTCGAATCCCACCACTGTTCGCGACGGATACCGTTTCGTTCCAACATCCTGCGTAAACGTACCCGTAAGCGCTTGCGAGGGGTGTTGCGCTCGGGGCCGCGGTGGTTGGGTATACGATTTTTGGATCTTGTTGTTGTTGTTGGGCCGAAACTTGTTGTGGAAAATTTATGGCTCCTAAGAAGAAGAGGAATACCACCAATGTTTGAGTCCTCCGAGTCGCCATCGTTGCTGTGATGAGAGGAATGTTTTCGTCACCTCGGTAGGAGGGAGAGCTCTATATAACATGTTTCCGCGGCGCGCACTAAGCGTTTCTTTATTCTTCTTTGAGTCGAAAGTCTATATTCTAGTGCATCGTTGGACGGCGGCGTGTGATAGGTTGTCTTGCATGTCAGGAAATTTAGCGTACCACTGTTGTAAACAGTGGTTTACTTCCGGAGGGCGTTATCCATTAACTCAGTATAGTTTGCCTAGTATTTGACGGTGCTTTTCCTCTTCTAGTACCGTAATAACCTTCTCGGTTATACTTCTAGTTCTAACCTTATCTCTATAGCTCTTTCTTATATATAGATCTAGCTCTTTCTATAAAGGCGCAAATAGCACCTTCTTATTATTATATTATTGTTGCTATTGTTCTTATCGCTATGCTACCTGTCTTGTCTAAACTAGTGCCGCCGTTTAGGCTAGATCGTATACTATATAATGTAATCGAGATTCGAGAATAGCTATTTAATATACTAGAGTATAGATTAACGTACGATCCGGACTGTTTCGAGGTATTAAAGGCCTACGTAAGTAACGTATATAAGGAGTCGAGGTTAGCAAGAACGAAGGATAGCTTAGAGTAGCGGTCGCACTAGTATTATCGTTATAGGCGCGATTAGTAGCGAAACAGGATGCTTCTAGATAGTATTCGTAAGGCTAAATATAATAAAGAGCCTTATAATGCTATAGTAGTCGTTATATCGCATTATCGGAAGGGGGCGACTAAACTATACGAAATTAGTATCCGCTGCTATCGAGTCGACCCTTCCGCGGTTAGTAAGGACCTACATTGCTATAACCTAAGATACATAGATATTAGGTCGTTAAACAACGCTCTAAGGGTGTTTCTTAAGGAGCTAATAGAATAGCGCAAATTTAATATAGCCGAGGTGCTAGATTTCGTTAGAAATAGTCCTTCGAAGGACGAGTTTAGTAAGATAGGTAGGCAATATATAAAGGCAGGCACTATTGCGTAGTCGAAGGTTAGGCCTAATCTAAGGAAGGTGCGTAGTAACGACTGTAGAAATGCGAGTATCTAGCTAGACGACCTTCCTGTCGCCCTCTAAGGCCTCTATAACGACCTAGATAGCAGGCCGCTCTAGTATTAGATAATAGAGAAGAAAATAAAGGGCAAGGTAGAGCGTAGCATTGCCTTCTAGACTAAGTAGCAGCGACAGTTATTAAATACCGAGGCAGGGGATGTAAGTGCAGGTGTTGTTATTACTATAGAAGGCGCATAACTAAGCTTCTAAGGCTTGCGTTCTATAGTTCCTATAACTAACTTCAAAAATTCAAAACATTACTAACTTATATGCTATACAGTTGTTCTTGCTAGACGCAACTTATAAGACTACCGACCTTAGCTAGAACCTTTTTACTATCTATGTTCGTAACTAGTTAGGGTGTTAGTTGCTAGTAGGACACTTATTGCTAGAATCTTAGAAAGCTAAGCTAGTAGAAGCCGGTCTTCGAGTTATTAAGAATTAGTTACTATACTAGAATGCTATAGCCGCTATAATCGACGACTCGGCCTCTAAGCAGGCGGCAATTAACCTATTATAGAAGGATAAGAAACAGGTGCTTATTTACCTCTGCTAGCAGCACGTTAAAGAGACCTTCCTTCGGTTATTTCTAGAGGCCTAATTTCTAGAGATTGTTAAGCGCTTTTACTACTCGATCTACTACGCTCGAAGCTCCGCCGACGTCGGTAACGATATAGTATAGATACAAGACTAGTTGAAAGAGAACAAGCCTATAGAATAGCAAAGTAAGGTGGAATATATACGGCACAATTAGGCTAGTCACACGTTACGGAAATAGGCTACTTAGGCAAGGCTTTATAGCCTATTATTAATGCAAATAAGGACTACTTCGCCTCTCGAGGGTTATTACTACGCTATCAAGTTTGAGCGTAAGCGCAGCCTCGTACGCTACAACCTCTATAGTACTATCCTCGAGGTTCTTAAGGTAGACGATAGGCAGGCTTACAAGGCACAACTAGCTAGCTATAGGATCGGCAAACGCACATAATATTAGTACAAAAAGCGACTTCTAGGCTTCGAGAGTCTGCAGCTACTAGCGGCTTAAGATCGCCTTCGAGAACAGGTAGATATTGCTATTAAGATAGAGGCTAAGGCGGCACCTATATACAAGGGCACACTGTGCAGTTATAACGGTGTAACACCTTCTCGTTATAACTGCCTCGCCTAGTTTCAAATACGCCTTCCTTGCTACTACATTCTTCGTAACTACCTGTTTAATAGACTAGAAATCAGTAATATACAACAGCGACAATATGTCTAGCTATTTGCAGGCCTTAACGTTGTCTTAGCTCACGAATACTAGCGCGCTCTCGATACTTAACAACTCGTTATCGAAGGCTATTAAGAAGACGCTATTACCTTAGTATAAACACTATAATTAAGAGACCTTCGAGGCCACTTTAAGGAAGCGGTAGAAACACTAAATTTAAAGTATTAGCGGATAGCAGATAATCCTTCTATTAACCCTTCTATTAAGGACTTATTCTATGCCTTCTACGTACGGAAGGTCAAGGACTTCTCGGACAGTTGTTACGCACTAAATATTGACTATTTTATCGCTAATCTATAGGAGGTCTAATTTATAGGCGAGACCGAGCGCTAATAGACGACTTAACTACCTTCTAAACCTACTATACTAACTCGATTGCTACCGCTAGGCACGCCGGAAACTTATTACGTCTATACTAATATAACCCTCCGACCGTTACTATTAAAACGGCGCGTTTAATCGTCACCTATTCGCTAACCTGTGTTCTTATTACCTCCGCCGCTAGGTGACCTTACTCCGAGGCCAATTCCGCGCCGCAAGATAGTGCTAGAAACACAGTCCTTATAACCGCTTAATTTAGATAATATAGAAGAGGTGGATTTGATAGGAGATATAATACCGCTAGTGCGAGGTCTACCTGCGCCGCTAGGTACTTACTATTTAACTAACTACTAGCATTAGGGTAAGCTATTATAGGTCTTTATATACGGTATTCGCGAGATTAACGGCATTGCTATAGACGACCGTTGCTTTACCGATTCTAGCCTCTCGTTCTTTAAGGAGCTTCTTATCTTCTATAACGTAGACTAGGACACTATAGATACGACAATAAGCTATATAAGAGACGAGGATTACGAACGAGCGGCTAGGCGACTAACTAGCTAGACAATAGACGACTTAGAAGACAACGCCGCTAATAACTTGCCTAGTAACGAGCGAATTAGACGAGAATTAAGAGGCGTAAGGACATACAGTAACCGCCAGTCAACCGCTAGTAGTAGTAGTAAGTTAATAACAACTCGTAGACTACGTACTAAGCAATAACAATAACGAGGTCGAAGAGATAGCAATTAGCGAGGGCAAGCCTTCCGCTATAGTCGTAGAAGGCGGTAATTCTATAGCAATTCTATAACAACAACTCTTAGTCTATACAATAGTCTCGTCTACTACAAAATTGCCGCTTCTATAATAGTTAACCGACAGGCTCGAGAGAGGCGCCCTTCTTAACCTAAATCGTTACTACGCCGAGTAGTTCTAAACGCTACTAAACTAGAGGATTGCGGGTAGCTTATTGCCTAGTAAACGCTAGTAAAAGACTGTGCCCCTAACTCTGCTCTAGGTTTAGCTAAAACACCTAATATCTAGGATAAATCCGTATAATCGGATAGCGTGTAGCGTGCCGAGAAGTTTAAGAGATTAGATCTTAAACATTTAGGAGCAGAGACGGAGAGTCGATAACGATATTTTTTTTCTATCTCACATCTCGATAGAATATGCGGGAAGGTAGATTTGTATTCGGATAAGGAGAGGAGAGGAGGAAGAGTTGTTACGCGCTTATAGAAATGAGGATAAATACTACCTCCTTCTTAGGCTCTTCTTACTATAGACTTTATCCTACCTTCTACCTTCTACCTTCTACCTTCTGCCTTCTACCTTCCTTTACCTAACCTACGTATAATTAGCGTCGATCGGTTCTTAGCTCTTCTATATATAGTCTAGTAGTATATATAAGAAGTCTTCGTAGAAGAGCCTAAAAACAAATATACTAAATCTATAGTATTAACCTTATATACCTATAAAATAGGTGGAATAGTATAATAACTATACATTTTAAGCAAAAGTTATATTAGAATCGTACCTAGGTATTAATATAATGAAAATTATTATCTATATAATAATCTATATATTTCTAAAGATATAGGAATAAAAATTTTTAAATTATAAAATGCTACTTTAAGACAAACGCTATACGAATAGCTTCTAGATTGCTTTAGCTACGATATAACTACCTATTTACTATAAACAGAAATATAGGTAGATCTATAGAATTAGCCGCTCTCTTACCTCTAAGCATTTGCTAGGCGTAAATATATATAAGATAGGTTATGTTAGTAGGTAGATAGGGTAGTAGTGGGTACGAGTAGTATTCGATAAGGAGCTAGGAGGAGAAGGAGGAAGGCAGGCTAGTTGGCCTACTGCTAAGCGCTAAGCCCTACGGCCCCTACCTAGGGCATCGAGACCCTAGCTTTACTCGAGCCCGGTTATATACTAATTACGTATAACCTCTTTAGTCCTAATATACGCTTCCCTTCTAAAGGCCGCGCCCTCGTAGCCGGTCTTTATTCTAGTCTCAACCTCTATTGCTACTAACTTAGTAGGTCTAATAAGCCGCTTAGTCCGCGCTAAATTAAACGTATAACTACCGATTATGTAACTATATCAAACCTTACCTCTAATACAACACAATGTTTAACTCTAGCTACGCTATCCTTATATATAATAAAGTAATATATAACTACGAGAATTGAGGGCCTTCGACTAATTATAATATGAGCGCGTCTTCCCTGCTATAATAGGTAGACGTACGAGGCACTATAGCCCTGCCTCCGTTCTAAGTAATGTCGTACCGAGTTCTTTGCGTCTACTCTAAAAGACCTAGAAATGTCCGCTCCGAGGGTTTGTCCGTTCCGAGGGTTACTCTTATTATTACGAGGGCTATTATTTACTATCGTAGTTTTACTAGCCCTAATTAGTTAGGTTTAGTAGCCTTTAATTGTTAATCTTATCTTATCTTTCAAAAAACATAGCTCGTCTAGTTTCTATAGGTAAAGGCTATTATAAGTGTAGTAGTAGAGGTTCGCCTCGCTTAAAGGATTAGATAGATCGAGGAGTAACCTATTGTCCGCAAGATCGACCCCGGCTAGCTTAGCTCTATAGTTTTGCCCTTAGTTAGTCTATTAGTCGTTTAATCTTTTAGGCGGCTTAAAGTTTTAATTAAAGTTTTAATTAAAGGTGCCTTAGGCTCGTAGTATAGGTAAGGTTGTGTCCGTAGGTATAGTAATAATAGCAAGTAATATTAATAATAGCGGCGCTAGTCGTCTTAGTACTAACTTTACCTTCTAATTTCCTTCTTTAACTAATAACAACTCGGTAACACTATTACTAATATAGCTATATCCTTCCTTTCTTAATTAGTAACACACTCCGCAATACTGTTACTAATATAGCCGCGCTAGCCGCGCCGTTACAAGCGCGACGCCGCCCTCGCCGATCGCCTAGGCCTCGAGGCCTCGATAGAATAAAGGAATAAAAGGGGGACCTAAATACTAGGAGAAGGGCCTTATAGGGCGCGTTAGTAGAGAGGTAGTTTCCTAAAAGAGTAGTAAATAGTTAACGCGTTATAGCGCGCTTATTAACACTTAGTACGCGTTTACTATAGTAGTATAATCTTATTGTCCTAGTTTGCCGGCCTCTAATTAGTTAGCTAATAGCACCCTAGGGGTAGCATTGTTCCTAGGCGACATTACAGGCCCTTAGCCTTCTTCTTGTTCTTTATACTAGTCTAATACTTATCTAACAACTTAGTTATATCTTTAAAAGAGGCTTTAGCTTCCTACGAGTCCTATTTAGGCGAATAGCCTTGCTATCTTAGGAGGTACTCCTTTTTGCCTTACCTAGTCCGATGCTTTAGAATACGTTCTATAGACTATAGTTCTTTACTATTAGCTAGTATGTCCTCGGATTTAGTAGGTGCTTTATCCCCTTCGCGTAGGTAGTACGGCTTAAGGAGGGATATATAGAAGGTATTATAGATAGTGTAATAAGGTAGAAGCTATAACTAATAGGCCTAGGTGCCCCTAGGTTCTCGGATACGGAAAGGGCTAATGTACCTTAGTGCGAGTTTGGGCCTTGTTTTGCTATTAGGCGAAGGGTGTTTGCGGATACGGAGGTTCTTCGTACTAAGTATAACTAGGTCGCCTTGCTTGAAGGTTATTAGAAGGTAGTGTTTATTATAGTAGGCCTTCTAATAGGCCTAGGCCTTTGCTAGTTTGTTAGCTATCTTAGCGTAAATCTCTCGTATCTTTTAAACCCTCTTAATAGCTGCTAGTATCTTAGGTATTAGTACTTAACGCGCTTCCCTTTCCTTACGCTCGGCCTCGAGCGATAGGGGGTCTTGTAGCATCGCAGCGTTCTAGCCTATTATAGCTATATATAGTAACACCTTGGTTAATAAGTAGATACTATTATTATATACGAATTTAGCTAGTTATAGGAGGTTAACCTAGTCGTTAGGATTCTCGTTAATATAGCTACGTAGGTATTGCTATAGGGTAGCATTCTATCTCTCTATTTAACCGTTAGTCTGTAGATAGAAGGCTATTAATAGCCGATGCTTTAGTCTTAGCTATAGGCATATTTCGCTCTAATAGTGCGATATAAATGTCGAGCCCCTATCGGAGACTATCCCTTTAGGGGTTCCCTAATAGATATAGAAGATATTAGTCTACAGCGCCTTAGCTAGGTTAATAGCCGTCTGGTCCTTTCGGGTAGGAATGTGACGAGCGCCCTTAGTAAACCGGTCTACGACAACTAGGATAGTATTATATATATCCTTGCTTCCTTTATACTTAGTAGGCGGAAGGCCTATAATAAAATCTATTATAAGCTTAGCAAATAGCTTCTTTGGAACAGGGAGTAAAGACAACTCGCTAAATAGTAAGTGCTTTAGTGCTTTAACTCGTTAATATACGGCATACGTGTTTACGTAGTCCTTTATATCCCGCTTACTATTTAGCTAGTAGTATATGCGCGATAGTAGCTCGTACGACCTCTCTATGCTATAGTAACCGGCAAGCTTACTATTATAGTATCGCTTAAGAAGTTCTTGTCGGATCGAATGTTTAGCGGGGATATAGCATCTGCCCTTAAACTTTAAATAACCTTTATTGTCGATCGACTAGTTACTCTTACTAGATCGAGTCGTTCGCCTACTTATAAGCTTGTCGATACGTTTAGTAGCAAAGGCGTCCCTCTACTAAGTACGTAATAGCTTATCTATAAACGATTGACTATCCCTATTTGTAAGGTTATTTAATAGCACCCTCGCTATTAAACGAGGTACGTATTATATACATCTAATAGCACTAGCAGCCAGATTAACTATAGTAGTGCTTTAATCGCTGTTACTATATATAGCGATATCGACTAGGGAGTTATTATAACTTCTCCTATCTGTGTCCTTAATACGTACTATTAATATAGTAAGAGTATTAATATACTTCGAGCCGTCGCGGAGTCCGGTAAGCCGCTTATCCTACGCGTACTTATTAACAATACAGGCTATAGCAATCTTATACTATAGGGTTAGAAACAATAAATTAATAGATTGCTAAGTCTCGCTATTGTAATTAGGTCGCCTCGATAGGCTATTAGTAGGGTTACTTACGCCTAGCTAATATAATATATTAAAATCGAACCTAGCGAGGTAGACGGCCTATCTAGCCTATCGACCTATAACCCTAGTAACCTTCGTAATTCTACGGAGGTTGTTATAGTCCGTATAGACCTAAATAGGGTGCTAAGCACTATCGAGATAATAGCGCTAGTGCTTAAAGGCTTCTACGATTGCTAAGAGCTCTTACTCGTAGGTCTCGTAACGACGCTTAGCATTAATTATCTTCCTTAAGAAGAAGGCAATCGGGTGCTAGTAATTGTTATTAGCCTATTGTAACATAATAGCTAATATAGCAAACTGTAAAGCGTTAGTCTCAATGCGGATCTGCTTGCTTAGTACGAAATAGTGCAATAAGGGGACTTTAGTAAAGCGCTTCTTTAAGCCGTTAAAAGCGGCTTATGCTCTATTAGTCTATTTAAACTCTCTAGTTAGGTTAGCCTTAGTTTTAGTAAGCTTAGTTAGAGGCATTACATACCGTAAATAGCTCTTAATAAAGCGACGATAGAAATTAGCAAAGCCGAGGAACGACTATAGCTCCTTAATTAACGTAGGAATAGGCTATTTAGTAATGGTTTTAATCTAATTAGGATTAGCCTTAATACCCTTAGTTAATATAAGGAAGCCGAGGAATAATACCTCTTTAGTAGCAAAGGTGTATTTAGAAGGCTTGCAATATAAGCTATAGGCCCGTAGGCGGTCGAGTACCTTACGTACGGCGGCCTAATATTCCGCAATGTTAGGTAAGTATATATAGACTAGGATATCGTCTAGATAGACTACGTAGAGGTAGTCTAATAGGCCTAATAGGGCCCGATTGGTATAGGACTGGAAGGTCGTAGGGGCATTAGCTAGCCTAAATAGTATAACTAAATACTTAAAATAGCTATAACGAGTGCGGAAGGCTGTCTTCTATTCGTCGCCCTTACGAATACAGATACGATAGTACGCATCCTTAATGTCTAGTATAGTATAGAAGTAGGCCCTAGAAAGGCGATCGAGGGTCTTATTAATAAGCGGAAGTAGATAGCGGTCTTTAATAGTAACAGTATTAAGCCTACGGTAATTAACGTATAACCGTAGGCTACTATCCTTCTTTAGAACAAACAGGATTGGTGCACTAGCAGGGCTGTTACTATACCGAATGCGGCTATTAGCTAGGTTCTCCTCTAGGTACTTACGTAATATAGCAAGCTCTCGCTTACTAAGGTTATAAAGGGGACTAAAAGGAACCTCTTTGCCCTCTATAATATCAATCTTATAATCCGTCTCTTTAAATATAGGTAATGTCGATGCTAAGTAGTGTTTAAACACATTAATATAGGTCTCTCGAATAGGCTCTAGTGTACGCTCGAGCTAATTAGGGTCTATGCTATTAGGGGGTATAGGCTTATTATCGTCGCCTAATAGGTCGACTATTAGGTCGGCTAAGGTAGAGGCTAGTATTAGGTTGCTAATAAACAGGACCCTAATATCGTTAGGACACTCGCTAATATTAATATATTTAATGTCCTCTCTTCTAGCGATTCTAAATCGCTACTATTAAAGGCCTAGGTCTATAACTATAGCATAGTGCTTAAGAACAGGGTTGCTAATAACAATAGTAGCTCCCCTATACAGGTTGTCTATATCTACCGCGTAGGTAGTAAAGTCTAGTAGGCGTTTATTTCCGAGGTCGTCCTTTAGAACTATAGGAATATAGTAGGCCCTATAGGTTAAGTGCCGAGCGTTATTAAACTAAGCAAGGGTTAGTATGTTAGTTCTAGGCAATTGTCGGAGGTCTAATTGCTTAACTAGGCGGTAGCTAATAAGGGCACTAACTAAATTCCCTAGGTCTAGTATAACCTTAGTCTTATAGTTGTCTCTATATGTGTCCTATATAAGATAGGCGCGTATAATAGCTAGCACAATGTCGATGGTTTTACGCTATACAAGGCTAACGGTTAGTGCGGCGCTTACTCTTTTTTCGAAGGTTAGCCTATAGGGGTAGCGTTAGCGGCTAAAAGGTGCTTACGGTGCTTAGTAGTAGTACGGTCGATTCGGGCCTAGTCCTTAGGTTTGTCGCATTAGCCTAGTAGATAGCTAGTACTATTACAATTAAAGCACTTCAATCTAGTTAGGGGGTTGCTATAGCCGCTATTACTACTATTATTAGTTAAGCGATTAGTACTATAGGGATACGAGCCCCTTCTACGGCCCCTATCGCGGCCTCCTCTATATAGCCGTCGGCTACGGCCCCTTCTACGGTCGTTGTTACTATTCCTATTGTTAGTATTATTGTTCTAGTAGGAACCTTAGTTTCCTCCGCGGCTACGATAGGTAGCTAGGCGTATCTTAGATTCTAACTGTTATTAGAGCTAAATAGCTCGTTTAGCTATCTCTACTTCGACTATGAATTGAATGCGTATAAGATTGGCCTATTCGAATATACGGCGGCGGTCTAATTTAAGGACTAGTTCCTATCTTAGTTTAGGTCGTATCTTAGATATCTAGATAGAGTCGGTCTTAGGTAGCAAGTCGTCCTTAAGGGTCTTTAGATAGGCCTCGAAGGATCGAGAGGTTTAGTCGGCCTTTTGTTTAGCACGTAGGTATTAGTCTTAGGCGTGCTACTAGCGCAATATAGGGTTGCTAAGGGTGTTTAGCATAATAGTCTTGTAATCCTGCTATTAAATAGCGGTCTAGTCGTAAAGGGAATTAAAATAGTTATCCTATATACGCTTAGGGTTACCGTTGATATACTATATAGCATAGACGACTAACGAATAGTCGTCTAGAAGGGCCCTTAGTGCGTTTCGCTAGTTAAGCTTACAGTTACGAATATAGTCGTTGTATTACTTTCGACTAGAGCTATTAAATACGGTATAGTTCTTAAGTTTAGCATCCTTCTTCTAGACTAGGACTAATAGTAAGGAAGGCCCTATTGTCGGCTTAGTATTAGTTGTTAGGGCCCCCTAAAGGCGGCGAATTTCGAGGAGGTTGTCCTTTAGCTATTGTTCTTAACGTAGAGTAGCGAGCCTGTTTTAGGTAGCTTCTTAAAGTCTCGCTACTAGCTAGGGGCTAAAGGCTAGTTAGCTATATCGTCGATTAACAATGTTGTTAAGTATATCGTTAATAGGCAACTCTAGGTCGTTACCTAGAACTATAGGTTCTTCGGTAGGCCTAGTAGTAGGCTCTTTAGCAGGTACCTTAGCAGGTGCTTTAGTAGGCACTTTAGTAGGTACTATACTACTAGCGTTGTCGTTGCTAGCGCTGCTAGCGGCAGTACGGTTGTTGTTGCTTCGTAATAAGCCGGCTATTGTAAGGGGTAACACCGATAATATATTATAGGCCCCTAAGATACGGATATAGCGAAATTAGTAGATATCGGCTTAGTGCGATTGATTTAGTATAATAGGCCGTATAGAAGGCCTTGCTTAATAATTAGTACGGTTGTTTTGATAGAATAGTACGTATAGGTCCCGTTCTTCGGGCGCAATATAGTTAGATTAACGGTTTTCGGGGCTATACCGCTAAAAGCTTAAAATACGGACTATCTAGCTACTACCCTTAAAGGGTAGATCGAATACTATATAAGATAGGTTATGTTAGCAGGTAGATAGGGTAGTAGTAGGTACGAGTAGTATTCGATAAGGAGCTAGGAGGAGAAGGAGGAAGGTAGGCTAGTTAGCCTACTACTAAGCGCTAAGCCCTACCTAGGGCATCGAGACCCTAGCTTTACTCGAGCCCGGTTACATGCTAATCACGTGTAACCTCTTTAGTCCTAACAATATATCGCGTTATTAAAGAAGAGGGCGGGCTAGCTAGTCTAGGCGTATTCTACTAGCGACCTACTCTTACTCGGATATCTTCTATTTAATCTATTCTACCTCTTTAAATTTCTTTCTAAAAGCCGGATATACTTTATAGTATCCTTCTATATTATCTTATATTCGAATTTTAACGCTAGTTACTTATAGTATAAATCTATAAGAATTATACTACAGATTCGGTATATTTATCCTTAGACCCTTACTAGCGTAAGGAGGTTATTATAGTTAGGTATATAGGTATATAGGTCTAGTCGCGTAGTAGTCCGATATAGAATAGTTAGAAAATAGAAGGTAGAAGGTAGAGGGTAGAATATAGAATAGTAGGAAGGTAGTAGTTAGAAAGAGCCTACTATCTACTATACTAAAAACCTCTTTACGCCTAAATCGTAAGGGGCTAAAACGGAGATAGGATAGGTAGATATAGTACTATAGACAGCCGAAAGCCTATTAGTATAGTCCGTAGAGCCGCCTTCTTTTACTATTAATTAGTAGGGGGCAATATAGGAGTGTTTTATATATAGAATCGCTATTTCTTCCTACTAACTATCGTTTAATAGAGAATAATCGTATATTAAAGCCTCGTACGCGTATTTCTGTTAATTTCTAGTATTCTAGCGCTAAATTGCTGCTAATATAGGTCTATAACCGACTCGATCGACTATAAGTAACTTCTAGTACTACGATTAGAAGAAGAGCTAAATAACTCTATATTAAAGAAAAGTATAGTAGAGCTTCTCGAGAAGCCTATAAGTTCGCTACTAATAAGATAAGGTATAAACTTAAAGTATAGATCTAGTAGGTCTACTAGAGCTATACTAGCTTAGCTAATAGGTAATATATACCGATCTAGAGACGATAGATAGACCTATCGGGGTACTCTAGTATCGAGAAGTAAAGGAAATAAGCCGATACTTTCGCGTCCTATTTAGTACTCTTAAGTACTTAGGTTAAGCCGATAATTTCGCGCTCTTAGTCCGCTTAACGAACTACTTAGCCGATACTTTCGCGTCTAAGGCCCTTTATTATCGTATTATAATCTCGCGGATAGGATAGCCTATCGTAGTCTAATCTCTATTCGATATAATATACGCTAACCGATAAATTATTGTCGTACTACTAATATAACTATTAAGAAACTAAGGGATTCGGAAGTATAAACTTAGAAGCACTTCTACGAATAGATATTATAAATTTATAATAGATAGAAGGTATACTATTAGTAGGTACTACTTAATAAGTTTTAGAAGGGGGAATTATATCGTAGGGCTACCCTTAGTATATATACTTATAATTAGTCGCGTACTTTTACGCTTCCTTCTTCCTTTATAGATAGTCTAACAATCTAATTACGTAACTATAGCTCTCGCACTATATTAGAGTAACGTACTATCTCTAATATAATACTCTAAGTTATATATTATAGCCTTATAATCGGTTAGTAAATAATAAATAAATAGGGACTATAGGCTATAGTAGCTACTATAGTATATACCGACGGTTAGTATATATATAGGACCTAATAGGGTTAATACGTATACGAGGTGTCTATACCCTCTATTAAGGTTTTAGTAGTATTATTATACCCTATAGAAGAGCCCCCGAGTCCTACGACTACTAGCTTTCCCTATTAGAGAGTTTGTAGAGACTTAATAGAGAGGCATATTATACCTATATTAGGTTATAAATTTATAGTCTGCTACTCGGGCGGCGCGGACACTGCAATTCGGTTCTTAGTAGAGGTTATGCAACTAGCGATACGCAAGGGTACAACATAGACGAGACAGTAGTTATGTTTTCTATGCTTATCGCGCTTGAGCTTCTTGTCGGGAAGGACGACGTGCGAGGGTATCGTCAAGCGAACGACCGTAACGGGCATCGAATGCGTCAGTGCCAATGGCAGACAAATGTGAAGCCTAGCCGGTCGTCTGTAATGGTTCTTGTTTTAGCCCACACGAGACGCTTAACATTGTAAGGCGAGCTTTGCTCGCAATCACGATTGTAGAGCGAAATCACCTCAACAAACATCTGCCATTCGACGATAGACTCTGCTAACTTACTAAAATATCAAAATCTCTCCGATACGCCACTGTGCTTCACGCACATTTTTGAGTAGACTACAGTCCTTTTGAGAGAATTGAGGCTATGCGAGTGCTCGTTCAGCGTCCGCTCTTCGCTGCAGCGATCTTGGCCTTCAGGACAGGATCCCCATTGCATCCACAGTCGCACCATCGTGGGCCGTGAGTTTGGTTCGGTGGCTGGAAGTGACCCCACTGGCTTGAAGAGCCTTGCGAGGAGCCTTGATTGGAAGAGCCCTGGTTTGAGGAGCCCTGAGAGGAGCCTTGCGAGGAGCCTTGAGTGTTTGAAGACATTTTTGATAGGAGTAAGTCAAGTTGGCTGCTATGTCGTTAGAAAATCAAGGGATTTGGTTAGTTGAGGTCAAAGGTGGTGCAGGTGTCGTTTGTAGGTTGATAATGAGGTTCATGTTGTTGCAAACTCCGGCCAGTTTATATATGTTGTATAGACGGTGTTCAATCTGATTTGTGGCGCTGTGCGTTATGATGAAGTGTCCAGCGGCCGTGGCTTTGAGGTCATATATTGCTTGGTGGCAGATCCGCCATCTTTGCCATGGAACAAGAAGCCAAGCGTTTGATACGTTGATGGCAAATATGGTGCTATCTGCTGCCGTCACGTATAGGCATGACCAAGATCCGGAAGATTTGAGTGCATGATTGTCGTCGCCGCGGAGTGCTGCACTTCCAGTAGTGTATGTTGTACATATGGTCCCTTTCACCATCTGCGTAGGTTTGACTCTACTCCAAGCGGGCTTCAACACTGAAACGCCATTAGCAGAAATGTGCACAACGAAGCAATGCCCGCTGGTAGAAAGACGTCGATCATAGCGGAGCCGCAATATCTTTGTCGCCGTGTCATAGGGAACCGGGATGAGGCGTACGATATAGAGGTGGCAGCTGACTCGGCTCATCCGCGCTGGAATACGAAGGGACGAGAAAGGGTCGGAAGAGGAGGATTCGTCCGCGAAAGCCATTTTTGGCCGTAAGAGGTCACATGACTGCTGACTAATCAAGAGAATTTCCCGGCGGGCAAAAATAGCATGGACAAAGCACAGCAACGTCGATGTTCCAACACTCACCACAGCCAGCAAACATCGCCACATCGCCATCGCCATCGCCATCGCCACCGCCGTTTCTCCCCCTACCCTACATGTACCCGTCTTCTCCCGGGACTTGGCGTCGCTGCGGTGAGCGTGCGCAGGTGACACATGGCTGATGAATGCAGTCATCGAAGCCAAGCAACTTTCCATTGACTTTGCAGTACTGCTTTCATGTGAGTCGCGGCCTTCCGTTTCCGTATTGTCGTAGGTATATATACTCTCGCTTGCCTCAGTCGCACCTACCCTCATCTCGCCAGACTCAGAGCACAATCATACCACCCATCACGAGATCACACTGCCACGACTACATCGATCGACATTGCAGTCCCTCATGAGCTGCACAAGCACATTCACCTCGAACGCCGTCCTCTCCAAGCAGTCCGCCGCGGCGGCTGCCAAGGCACTGAGAAGCTTCAATGGCCCTACACTCTCTAGAAAAGCCTTTCTAGGCTTCCAGCATCAACTCACAGCCCGCAACTTCACCACCTCGAGACCCAAACAATGGAAGGACTTCTTTCCTAAACCAGATGCACCAGCTATCAAAGAGACCCCACCAGCATGGCCACATCCAGTGTACACCGAAGATCAGATGAAGTCGGTCGTCATCTCGCACCGGAACGCAAAGACATGGTCAGACTACATGGCTCTCGGCGCAGTGCGAACGTTACGCTGGGGCCTGGATTTCGCGACTGCCTACAAGAAAGGCGAGGGACAGATGACGGAACGCAAGTACATGATCCGGAATATCTTTCTGGAGAGTGTTGCAGGCGTTCCTGGCATGGTTGCGGGGATGCTTCGACACCTGCACAGTATGAGGAGGATGAAGCGGGACCATGGTTGGATCGAGACGCTGTTGGAGGAGTCGTACAATGAGCGAATGCATTTGCTTACGTTCTTGAAGATGGCTGAGCCGGGATGGTGAGTAGTATAAAAGACAAAATGCGTACGAGCAAGTGCTAACAAGATGTATAGGTTCATGCGCTTCATGGTCCTCGGAGCACAAGGCGTCTTCTTCAACGCCTTCTTCGTCTCCTACCTCATCTCGCCACGAACATGCCACCGCTTCGTCGGTCTCCTAGAAGAAGAAGCCGTCATCACATATACCCGCGAGATCGCCGATCTGGATGCCGGTCGACTACCAATGTGGGAGAAGATGCAAGCTCCAGACATCGCCGTAAAGTATTGGAACATGCCCGAAGGCCACCGCACGATGCGCGATTTGCTGCTCTATATTCGAGCTGATGAGAGCAAGCATCGCGAAGTGAACCATACGTTGGGAAACCTCAATCAGAAGGAGGACCCCAATCCTTACGTTTCTGAGTATAAAGATCCGGCGAAATCACATCCGTGTAAGGACTTGACGCATCAGAAGCCGACGGGGTGGGAGAGAGATGAGGTGATAAACAACTAATGACAGTCCCTTGCGATTTCTCTCTTAACGCGGCTGTCGCGATTCGAGTCAGCATTTGATCTCTGCTCTCAGGCGTTTGGATTTGGATAGCGATACCAGTGGGAACGCGACATGGCCCGGAGTTTTCCACAGAGCTAGATAGAATAAGAGCATGTGACTTGGACTGGAGGCATCAAGGGTATATTTAAAAAGAACATGCATGTAAGCAGCGAACAGCTGCATGGGAATTGGGAGCTTCTCCCTCATCCATCCCGTTCATATCCGTCTTCTGTCTTTGCCATTTCATTCTCCGCCTCATCACCTTATCCTATCCTCCAAACAAGTCAGCAACCCCCATCACAACAAACATCAAAAATTAAGAATCAGAAAAACTCACACCTCAAACCCCCCCTCCTCCCCATCCTTCGCCACAACCTCCTCATATTTTAGTTCATCAACCCTCGCCCCCCTCGGCCCTAGTCGTAGGTGCTGCACCAACTTGTCCAAATTCTCTGGACTCCCTTGCGCTTCCCCTACCACCGTTCGTCCATCGGGGAGATTTTTCACGAAACCCGTGAGAAACAAATTTTGCGCTTTTTCCCGCGTGAAAGAGCGGAAGAAGACGGCTTGGACGTGGCCGGTGGCGGTGAAGGAGATCTGTGTACATACAAGAAGAAAGTTAGGTGGGTGGGGTTAGATGAATAGATGGGGAGGTTAGAGGTATAGAAAGGGAGTTGGGGGGGGGGGGGGGGGGTATGTGGGTGGGTAGGTATATGGGTAGGTATATATTTACGCACTCTTTTGGACATGGTTGGAGGTTTGATTTTGCTGAGAGGTTCGAGTTGCGTGTATGCAGATGGCCGGGGGTTTCTTGATGGGTGTATTGACTGATGTTTGGTTGTTGTACAGTATGACGTCAATTTGGAGCAAGGGTTTGTTCGAGCGAGCGAGAAATTCGATATGCTTCATGTGTACACCCCAGACTTGAAGTAGGCCGATGTCGACGTCGAGTTCTATTTCGCCATGCTCTTGTAACTATTACTCCTCCTACTCATTACAACAACCCCCTACGCAAGCTCTGGACAGGACAAAAGCCTCTATTATAAATGCTTCTTCAAAATCTCCAATACAGCCTGATACTCCTTCTCATACTCCCTCTCCCTCTCCTCCTCCTCCTCCTCCTCCTCTAAATCCCCCCTAGCACCGTCAACCTTCTTCTCCCCACTTCGCACCTCCTCTCCAAAACCGTTCATCTCATCCGCCGGCTCGTCACCAAACACCAACATAGGAATCGGAATCGGAATCTTCGCATCCGCCGCAGAACTCTGATGAATCCCAATTATTTTCCAACCCCGACTCCTACAATCCTCCCCAATCCCACTCGTACATGTGTCCTCACCACCTCCAATCCTCGCCCACCTCTCCACGCACGGAAATTCTCTCTTCAAAGCCTCAAAATTTCCCTCCACTCTCGACACATCTCCTTCTTCGTCTGTTGTTGTCACGGGCATGCAAACTAAATAATCCCCCCTCGAAGCAAGCATATCCGCGCCTTGCACCGTAGGAATTTTCTCACCGAAGACATCAGAGAGGAAGAAGATGGCTTTTTTCGCGGTGGGGGGGCCGACGATGTAAGTTTTGGTGTTGGGCGCGAGGGTTTTGTAGGTGCCTTTTGGCGTGTAGGATGCGGTTGGGGTTTGGCAGCAAGCTTCGGAGGGCTCGGAGATTTCGATGTCGATTGGTGAGGTGGTGAGGTGTTTTCGGGCGATCGTGAGAGGATGATCTTCGTCTTCTCCGTCTTCTTCGTCGTCTTCGGATTCTGCGAATGGGTTTTCGCTTTCGAGGGCTGGAGTGGAGTATTCTCGGAGAAAGGAATTTAGACGTGTGTTTACGGTGAGATGCATCTCGGCACGACACACTGATGTGAGCGATGATGAGGTTTGGTAGACAGCATTATTGCGCTCTTCTCGACATTTTGTTCGAGGATGAAACACGGCCTTCGATTTGGTTGCCAATAGCAGGGAAGGTGTTAAGGTTATGGGTGGAATTAACGCACGGCATTAATTTGGGCTGTAGAGTTTCTGCTTCGCGGTATTGGCAATCTCAATGCTTGGGTTGAGGCGCATTTCGAGGCGGGCTAGGCGTGAGATGTCGTGGTTGGTAATCTTGTCGCAAGTGTGCAATGTCGGATACGAAGCATAGAATATCCGAGGAGGAATCCGGAGCTCGGCGGCAAAGTGTCTTTAGGTTTTCCCTGGCGATCGGGTGGCTATTGAAGCTTTCTCGAACATTGCGACGTGATCCGGTCAATCGGGACTCGGCCAGCTCATAATCAACGATACTCTCCTCCACAGTCGCCAAGTAAGTCGATGAGTTGGTCTCTTCTGGTTCTGGTCTGGACCTCTTCTATCATTGCTCGATCGGTATCGTCCAGCTTCAGACCATAGGTCTTGAGATTGTCTTCAGCATTATCACTCACTCCCCATCTCGTCCCAACAATCACAGCGCCAACGTAAGGAAAGTCCAGGACCCATCTTGTGGCAACGTTGGTGATCGAAACGCTGTGCTTGTCAGCGATGGTCTTCAACACGCGAAGCAGCTCCTGGAACAGCGACCAGCTGCCCCAATTGAGGATCATTTCGTAGTACTTTCGCTGACTTGGTGTTATGTCGTTCGAGAACAACTCAGGTTCGGGTGAGTCGAGCCACTTTTCGGCAATGAATCCCCCCAGCAGCGTGCCATATGTGAGAAGCTTGATGTTATGCTTCATGCAAATGTCGCCCATCTTGTATGCGGGGCGTGAGTCGACGAGGGAGAATTGTACTTGATTTGTATAGATCTTGACATCCGCTTCAGCAATCTCTGCCATACGTTGAGTGTCAAAATTACACAGACCAAGCTTGTGCACTCTCTGGTCGCCCTGCAGCAGTTTGAGAGCTTTGATATATTGTGGATCATTGTAGAATTGCCAGTGAAATTGGAGGAGATCGACATGGTCCGAAGACATTCTTCCACAGCGCTCGCTGACATTGGCTTGGACCAGCTCGGATGTCACCTGCGTCGGAGTGAAGATGCACCACTTTGTAGCGCCAAAGACCGCTTCCGGCTGCGAGCAAGATGCTCTGAATTTGCCAAAAATGACTTCAGCATCGCCGTAATGATCGGCCATATCGAAGGCGGTGAAGCCTTGTGCTGCATATCTCTGGAACTGTTTCTTGATCTTGTGTGTTGATGTAGTCCCCCATGATGGGCTGGACAGTTGCCAGAGACCAGAGAATAGTCTGGGTAATGAGCGATCGCCGAGCTGGAATGTCTCGACGCTAGCGGGCAATGGAGGCACCGAGATGAGATGGATCAAGTGTGTACCGTTCACCGGGGAGCTGGCGTTCGAATCTTCGGAAGACAATGACGATGCCTGCAGGGCAGTCAAGCCCCTCTCGAATGGAAAGGGTTGATGTGAAGCTATGCATACGTCTTGGCACTGACATAAAGCTTTCTCTAAGCGTAGTATGGGAGTCTTTTCGAGCCCGGTCAGGCTTCTTGTTCCAGAGGGCATCAGCAGGGTCTTTTGTATCGCGGTGATGGCCTGAACGATGTCGCCATCCACCGCAGATAATGCCTGCTCCAGACATGATGGAAGCTGCTGTAGACTCGACGCCTGTTGTACAATCGCTGTCAAAAGTGGAATGCTTTCATAGCACATGCCGCACCCCAGCATGCAACGAAGACGTTGTTGAGCACTGTGAAATTCGGCGGTCTGCTCAGCGTGATTCTTGCCTGATTTGAAGAATTTCTCCTCGACATCCATGGAGGAAGACTTCTCCAAATAAACCCTCGTTCGGTCTTCGAATGTCGGCGTAATCGTGGGATCTGCCGCAAGCATAGATCTGAGCACCGACCGCAGCCCTTCTTCTGGTAGGTTGGCGATGATGGTGTCAATCATCAAATTGACATGCGCCATCTTGGCCTCGTGGTATGGTGCCGATCCCATCTTGCTGCGAGCTGTGATGAAGCGATGGTGAGGATGATCGCCGCTTTAAAGAAGAGCTAAGAATTATTACTGTAAGAGGTGTACAGTTGCCCAAGGAGTGGTGCTACGCGAAAGTCAATGCCTTGCAAAGCCAGTGTTTAGCTTCCCAACGCTGCGGCTGCTATGATAGCAGCTCTTAATGTGGTGAGCTTGGGTTACACCAAATGCCGGTGTTCAAAAGCAAAGTGTGCATTGCTCTCGTACTTTAATTTTGCCCGCGCTGCCCTTTGCCCGGCCGAAACCAAGTGCACGGGAGAGGTGAAGACGAGTACAGCTTTTGCTAGCCTATCCTAGGTGCTATCCGTTGGGCTATATCCGACACAATAAGGGCTTAGAAAAAAATAAAAAACATACCTCGATACCTCCACGATCTTTAGCGGCCAGATCGTTGCAAAAAGTCAGTACCTCAGCCATCGACAAAGCTTATTATTCACACGCTACAACCTAGCTCTAGCCGAGGCGCGTGGTTGACGCCTCCATTTCTTCTCCATCAACAAGCAGTAATTCACCACGACTGTACTGCCGATTTTGCTGCGTTGAAACAGAGCTGGATGCATGGCTCCCTGCAACAACCATAGCACCACCTGATCCGGTCTATGCCAGCCGGGCCAAGGACGCGGACCTTGACCGACGAGTAACCTTGGGCACTCCTTCATCTCTTTGGGCCAGACCAGTCTGAGATCATGCTGTCGATAAGGAGAATCAGCAAAACTCTGGCGGGCTTTGTGGGATTGACAGAGAACGAATAAACACTGGGATTTCGTATCGAACCATGGACCAGTTACCGCCTGGGGCTTCTGGCCAAGGTCGCGGAGGTAGTTCCAACGCCTGCCTTGAATGCAGAAGGGTGAAGATGAAGTGTCACCTGATTCCAAACTCCGAGAAGTGCGAGAGGTGCGTCCGCAAAGCACTCGATTGTACCTTCCAGCAGCATAGACGAGGTCGTAAGCTAGGCATGAGGCTCTCGACGAGCCACTCGGCGAAGCGTGCAGCTGGGGAGAGGCCTAATTCAGGGGAAGTAGGACAATCTGCTCACTGGAATGGTGCGAGCGCTGGAATTTCTGAGACCAAAGAACATGTGCATACCCCATCACAACTGCACCAGTTGCCACCTGTACGTTCGTGGTACGCCGAAGCCGATGAAAAGCCTGCCAAATTAGAGAGCAATGAGGAAGGCAACAATGAGAGCGATAGTCGTGAGCAGTCTGACAGTGATCGACCATACGGCTTCTGGGCGGATCCAGATGGTTTCAATCCACCCAGCCTGCTAAATCGACATGCGTCCAAAGGCAACTTTTCCCTGCAGAACATCTTGAGTACGAATATCGAGGCACCAAAGAAACCCACCTCAGGCGAAATATCGGCAAGCGCACCTCGCTCACCCGGAGATCCGATCACCAAGGGAATCATCAATATGGCGATCGCTGAGTCTTTATTCGAAGGGTACGTACGTATGGCGAGTATTGGCAAGAGACCTTGTCCCGGGCTTCGGTGTATAGCGTGCTTCTTGCTGACCGAGAATAGCTTCATGAAGAATCTGAATCCATATGTTTGCCAACTTGACCCAACCTTGCATACTTTCCAGTACGTGAGAGTTAAGTCATCGTTCTTGCTCACAGCGGTACTTGCAGCCGCCGCAAAGCTTTTGAACCCCTCCGTGTTCTCACCACTTCGAGATCATGCCGAACGACTCTACATGGAAGTCTTCCGCCGTGGGCTGAAGTCGCCGGAAGTAGTTCAAGGAATCATGCTTTTGACGTACTGGAAGGAGCCTGACGACACAAGAGCATTCGTCAACGTCGGAATTGCTATACGTATCTGCCATGATCTCGGCTGGCAAAAACTGCAGGCGCAGGATCTGAAATCCATGAGCGAAGAGAGAGCTCGAGAGATCCGGAGTATGGAAAGAACTTGGCTCGTCCTTTTCGTGTACGATCGCAGGTGAGTCGACGTCGCATGCAATCTGTCACGACGCTTCCCTGACGTCTTATCAGCATCAGCATGCAGACCGGGAAACCATGCATGATCGAGCGCAGCCGCTTCATTGAGTCGATCGACGACTGGCTCAAGTCACCTTTTGGAGAGACGGATGGCTTGCTGGCTGCCTTTACCCACTTGCGATTGCTAACATCCGAGCTTCCTGGACTCTTGAAACCCGCAGATGATACCAGTTCTCCGCCCAGCTCCAGGCCTCTTCTGCGGCTTTTGAAGGAGCAGATTGGAGGGTGGCGTAGGCGGTGGACGCAGGCTACGACGAGAGGTTTGTGATCGACTACGTTCTACCGGCATAGCAAAGCTGATATCATGCCAGAGCCGCGCCACCAGTTTCTGGTACAATACTATGCCGATCACACCCTACTGATGCTATACTCTGGACCTTTGCAGGCATCGCTCTCTTCAAAAACCGGTCCTTTAGACCTTGAGCCGTTTTGGGTGAGCTACAACGCCGCCATCGGCATTCTTCGCCTGGTCTCAAGCAGAGAGGTCGCCGGTTTTGTATATTTCGTGCAAGATTCTATGCACGTCATGCTAGCGTATGCTGCAGTGTTCCTAATCAAGGTATACTTCTTCCGAGCTGGGCGGGAGTGGCATTACGTGGTTACTAATCGGCACTCTAGCTACTGTTGTCAATCCCTCGAGCCGTGAGAGCTGAGGTAGAATCCACCATTCTGGAAACACTATCCACCGCACGAGACGCTTTTGCGCTACAATCCGCGCCGGCCAACACAGGATGTGCTCTGCAGGCCATGTTTCTGGCTAACGTGGTATCAAAAGTCGAAAAACTTTGTATACGCAGACATCCACGTACCGTGCAGAAGACGGCCGACACTCCCTTACAATTTCAGACCTCTCAATCCATGGCCGGCGACGGTTCAAGCCCAGGAGAAGCGGCGAGCACATCGGTGGAGGCCATTGCAACGCAATATGCTTCCGGAACCCAAGTCCCTTCCGCAGACGATATCGTTTCATCAGCACCCTCAATAACGCCAGAATCACAAAACTATAATTTTTTCGACGACGAAATGTGGTCTTCGATGTTCGCTTCGGCCGGCTTCAGTATCAACGACGGCATCTTTCTGCCGGATTTCAGTGGCTGAGCACGTGCGTCGAATCGATCTCGGTGTTCATCATCTGTCGCTGTCCATGACCCTGGCATCAAGATCAACATGGATTCCCCACTTGTACCTCCTTCGGCATTTGATGTGGCAGAGCAAGTTCACAGGCGTTCCATGCAGCTTCCTCGCGTGCGCGAGCGCATATTATTGGCTCCGATGATGACAACGGGCGCGACGTCAATCTACGCATGGGGCAGATATCCGGCATCGAAACTACTCTGGGAGTCCCCTCAATATATATGGGATTTGAACCTGCTGGAGTGGACGACACTGCCGAGTCTGTTGCGCGAGCGAACGCAGGCATATCTCGACCTCACTCAGCATATGGCCGAAGAAGGCACTGTCCTTCTCAAAACGAGGCTGAGGTTTTCCCGATTGTCTCGGGCCAATTCTCGTATATGGCGGAGACGGCACCAATCAAAGTCAGGTCACCGAGAATCATGGAGGGTTTCTGCATCGAATCTACGACGATGGTGTGATCGCCTTTGGAAGCTGGTCGCTGAAGAGGCAGTATTCTACTCTGAGTCATATCCCGGCACAGACCAAATTTCCACCGTGTTCGTGGACGGAGGCCCCCAGGTGATTTCCTTGCACGTGCGAAGGGACTTTTGAACCCCAACTCGAGTGGCGTCTATCACTTCTCATGGACTGGGCAGGGCCATGGTCTACTCTACCCTGATCGCCAACCCGTCAAAAGCCAACTTTGGCAACACGATTCAAGGCATTGCAAACTTGACAGCGGTGTCTCTCCGACTGATCTATTCCTCATAGCTTCACGTTAGGCCTCAGGGTGGGCAAAGAAGAAACACGCGAGGAAAGGGCCAATGGATGTCGGCATCATATTTGCCTCTGACGGGCACTCTGAGGGCGTTGGCGGCAGAACCCATCTCACGCTCCACTCCTCCCTCCTATCCCGCATGATTACCATCTAAAGGCACCGCGGTAGTCTCAGCATGCCTAAACTCCCTCATCCCAAGCCTCGTAATCTTCAACAGTGATTTGCAATTCGGATCCGGACACGCGACGAGCGCATCTGTCGACATCCAGTCATTCGCATGCGTTGGTCGCTGTTTCGCTGCAAGAAGAGGCAGAACCGCAGCTGCCACGTCAGTCCGTCGGCCACGAGCAAGAAGAGGATGTGTGTGTTGTCGTCAAGTCTTACACAAACTATAAATACTAAACCCTTGGCCTTCAGGCAAGTGAAGCATTTCTCCTCGCAGAATGAAATGATCTCCTGCTTTCGCTCCACAGTAGATCTTTTCTCCGGGCGGGCAGAGGACTTCGACTTTTAAATCGTAGAGCGAGAAGGTTTCGGCCATTGCTTGCCCCCTCCCCAAAATCTTTCCCGTGGCACTTTGTTTGATCTTCGGTGTTGTGTATGAGTCGTCCAGTCCAGAGCCCGTGACATGGTTATGTAGAAATGATGTGGTAGAATATTCCACCCCTGGCCTATCACGTTAATCCGGGCCGCCGGTGTACATAATACAGGACGATTAAGCGAGATGGCGGACGGGGGTAACCCCTGAAAACGGAATCTAACTAGTCAGAGCTAGCGTACTGCCTAAAGGAATTATCCGCACCTTTAAAAAATCTACGTCTAGCGTTTTCAAGCTAGCTACCGCTTACGGGGATCACCCCCGTCCGCTATCTCGCTTAATCGTACTGTACATACATACATCTCCAGGGTCCAGGGTTGCAGACACCGGCGCCACAGATAAGACTCTCGCTCGCAGACCCTTGGCATAGTTGCTAATGAATCATCAGCAGAGCAGAGGGAGTGGTGTGCCTGCTTTCTGAAAACGTTCGGCTTCGACATCACCATCATCGTCATCACAGGCTATGGGTGTCGACGATCCGATCGAGGAGGAGGTCCATGAGCGTGGCGGCGATGTCGAACATGGCGAGAAGAATGTCAATTCGGTGCGGAGGGATTTGCAGCGAAGACATATCAATATGATCGCGATTGCGGGAATGATCGGTAAGGAGTGAGTGAGCGAGCGCGCGCACGACTGACTTCGATGCCAGGCACGGGTCTCTTCCTCGCATCGGGACAAGCGATCGCCACCGGCGGCCCCGTCGGAGCTCTCCTGGGATACATCGTGATGGGCCTGATCGCCTGGGCCATCGCACTCATGACGGGCGAGATCTCGGCTTTCATGCCCGTGACGGGAGGCTTTGTGCGGCATGCGGCGCACTTGGTGCAGCCGGCGCTGGGCTGTGCGACGGGGTGGAATTTCTGGTATGCCATGGCCGTCACGGCGCCGGCGGAGCTGAGCGCGGCGGCCACGCTGATCCAGTTCTGGAACGCGTCCGTCAGTGCGGCGGTGTGGTTTTCGGTGTTGATCGTGGTGATTGTGGGGTTGAATTTTTCGCCGGTGAGGGTGTATGGGGAGAGCGAGGTGGTGTTCGCGGCGTTGAAGATTTTGTTGATTGTCGGGTTGATTGTTGCGGGTGTGGTGGTTGATGTGGGGGGTGGGCCGCGGGGCGATCGCATTGGGTTCCGGTACTATCGGTCTCCGGGGCCTTTTGTAGAACACCTGGTTTCTGGCAGCACGGGAAGGTTCTTGGGCTTCTGGTCGACGCTTCTTTCGGCGGCGTACAGCTATGCGAATGTTCAGGTCGTGGCACTCGCCGGCGCCGAGACTCGCAATCCGAGGCAGATTATCCCCAACGCGGTGCGTCTGACGTTCTGGCGAGTGATGGTCTTCTACGTTGTTTCCATCTTCGTGGTGGGTCTGCTCGTGCCATACGATGATCCGAATCTGGGTGTCTCTACGGGAACCGCACAGCAGAGTCCATTTGTCATTGCCTTCCAGCGAGCCGGGATCAAAGTGCTGCCGAGCATTATCAATGCCGTGGTCTGTACCTCTGCCTTCAGTTGTGGGAGCGCTTGCATATTCCTCGCGTCCCGTACATTGTATGGACTCGCTGAAGAAGGCCAAGCGCCGAGGTGCTTCCTGAAAACGAACAGGTTCGGAACGCCGTATATGGCCGTGGCGGCGAGCTTGATCTTCACGCCGTTGGTATATCTCGCGCTGGGTAGCAGCTCAAGCGTGGTCTTCGGATGGTTTGTCAACATTACCACCATAGCCGGTCTGATCGGCTGGCTCATCATTTGCGTGACTTACCTGCGATTCTACTATGGCATGAATGCTCAGGGAATCAGTCGCGATCGTGAGTCAGCTCCAATTCCCTTCGGCAAGTTCTGCCACTGACATCTGACACAGGTCTGCCTTACAAGAGTCCACTGCAGCCATATCTGGGCTGGGCAGCGCTGTGCGCATTGGTCCTGGTCATCCTGTTCTCGGGATATAGCGTGTTCTTTCCGGGCCACTGGAGTGTAACGGCGTTCTTGACATATTACATCGACATTGCCATCTTCATCTGTGAGTTGCATTGGCAGGGCCTGATCGGAATATTTGCTAATGATGAGCAGTTTTATGGGCATGTGCTTTGCTCATCTTTCGCGCGAAGCCCGTCTCCCTGCATAACATGGATCTCTCGGAGATCCACCTTATTGAGCGCGAAAGGGAAGATGAGAAGCAAGCCGCAGGAATGCACTCTGTACCTCAACTTTCGTCCTGGTGGCGGAAATGGCTGATATGAATGGGTGGCTATGCGCTAGATGCTGCACTGGAGTCCTGCAATCAATGCTCTCGAATCTCGCGAAACTTCTCTCTCACGTCTGACGTCGCCTTGCTGTCCAGGAACTCCTCGATGAGGCTGATTTTGTCCCCATCTTCTTGAAGCACATGTTTTGACATTTGTAAGATTCATCGAAAGACTTCTCGTCCGAAAGAACGCTTTCTGCTTCACTAGAACATCGCCGTCTTAAATCCGCGCCCAGCTGCATCGGTTCCGAGCTCATGATTCCTTCCTCTTGAGCTGCAAGTTTGGATCTTTCAAAATCGCACCAGGCTCAGCAGGCATCAAAGCACCTTGCGGCGCTACGCTCTTCGACTTGAAGTCATCGCAGATCTGCTCCATTGTGACCCACTCAACGCCTTCATGCTTGTTGATGTATTCAATTATCCTAGAGTGCGGTCAATCCTGGCGACCGAAAGATTCGCTTCTGCTTCAACGTACCTCTCCAGCATCAGGAGACCGTGAGGATGTCCACACACATCAGGATGAACTGTCACGGGATACACGAATTCGTCGTACTCTCGGTAGAAGAAATTGAATTGGTCGAGCCAAAGCTCTTCAACGTCCCTCGGGTTGACCCATCCATGGCTGTTGGGAGCCTTTTTGATGAACATCATTGGAGGCAGATCGTCCAAGTACCACGAAGCTGGGATCTCAACGAGTCCGGTCATCGGGCCATGTGTTAATGGTTTCATCCACTATTGCATCCACTCTTGCATTAGATTTACTCTTAATGAGAGTTGAGGCTCGATCCTGCGAGAACTTACATGATCTGGATGCTTGCTGTAATCTATCGGCACCCACTTGTCCCCAGTCCGCAGCCAGTAACATTGACAATCGTGATGGCTCAAAGAGTGGTCGTATTCCAAGCCATATTTCAAGAAAAGTTCCGTTCCTTCTTCCGAAGCCTCCCACCAGGGCGCAACGATACCGCGCGGCGGCTTTCCTCCCTGGAAGTCGGTAATCAGCTTGTAGCACTTGTCCATGATCGCTTCCTGTTGCTCCAGCGTCATAGCGACGGGGTTCTCGTGACTGTAGCCATGAAGGCCGATCTCGTGCCCGGCATCTGCGATCATGCGACATTCTTCCGGAAAGGTCTCGAGAGAATGGCCGGGTATGAACCACGTTGTCGTGATGCCGTACTTCTCGAACATCTTCAACAAGCGCCTGACGCCAATCGTGCCGGCGAACATTCCTCGGCTGATATCGGAGACTGAGTCTGCTCCTCCATAGCTACCGAGCCAGCCGGCTACAGCATCAATGTCCACTGAGATACAGCATTGAACCTCTGCTGATGGTTAGTGATCTCCATTGGAGAGTTGGAGCAAAATGAGTACTTTTCTTCCCCATTTTTTTTGGTTGATCAAATCAAGTGTTATGTTGGTGTATGTTCAAGTGGGTTCGAAAGGGATTCTTCAGAGGGAACACGAGCAGTATGAATGATGATGACTCGGTAGTCTCGGTCTCATTGTTTATACTTCACTTGCTCCTCTTTCGCGAGGCATTGTTGCAATGGTGGGGTCCGCCGTCGGCCGCTCCAATGACGTCGTACACACCCATGTCATGTCCGCTCTGTCCAGCGATCCATGATGAATCAAGGCATTATTGGGATAGCATTGCTTGAGATGGATGTTGTTGGTAACGGAGAACGAGAGGAGGAGGCTGGTATGAAAATATCTGAGCTTTGACCAGTGAGCAATCCCGGCGTAAAGCCGCCATCAAGGTAAAAATCTCCTTTCGACCATGACATCTTCTTCTTCTCGTGATAAACCTTCGCATCGCCGACGCACGCGTGGTCGCCGAGCCCTGACGTCTGCTCACTGAGTCAGTATGCTGACGCCTTGGTATAATATGCAGAAACAGAAGTACCTTGAAGCGGTAGCGAAAGAAATCACACGCACACCACAGAACGCATGCCGGCCCTGAGGAATCATCCCATCTTCCGCGAACCGGGTCAGCATCGCTACCAGATGACTATGTCTGCGCACGAAATCTATACTGGCCACTGCCTCATCAAGTTGGCACCGGGTTCTTTGCCCAAGATGTCCTTGACTGCGAAGCAGCGTCCTTTCGCCAGCCTATGGCCATCGCCTAGACTGGAGACAGCAGGCGGGACACTTCATAGCTCTATAGAGGAAGTCTCCATCAGAACAACAGCAAGGAGTAAGGTTCTTGGCACCGTTGAGCTGCTCGAGCAGATACTGCTTCATAATCGATGGAACGAGCTGTTCGTGCTGCAGAGAGTCTCCTCGACATGGCGAGACCTCATCCGGAAATCCGTTCTTGCGCGAAAGAAGATGTATATCCTGGCATCGGAGGCCCCACTGCAGCCAATAACGAACCTCCAGTATTATGGTGCCTCCATGAACCGCATATCATATCGCAGTGACAAGCTGGAAACGAACCCAGCAACCAGGTTTTATGGATCATCGGATGCAGGCTTGCAGAACCCTCTTGCACTATGGGTTGCGAGAGACTTGGGTAATTTCATCCAATTCTCGATAGGGGTTGAAGGCACAACGGAAGGAATTCCAGATGAGACCGCTTCTTGGAGGCAGATGCTATTGACAAAACCACCTCTGCCAGCGATCAATTTCGATTTCTTACCGGATGATGAAGGACATGGATACAAGCTCACGATATATAACAGGCGTGGTGTCACATTCGGAGATGTGCATGATTGGACGTGGAAGTTGTCACAAGCGCACGAGAAAGAAACTGGTCTGAAGCCGAGTGGTCGTCTTGCAGCAATTGTATTCTGGCTCGCTCATCCGGACGGGAGTATGGAGATGGAAGAAGCTTGGTGATTCAAGACTTCGCCCACCTCTCACACAATTGGAGCAGCGTTGCCATCTCTTCTGACGCTTCTGGAAGATTTTCCTTCCACAACATCCGGACGCAGTGGCATAATCCATGGAAGGTACATGTACCGCGGGTGGCCAAGTTGTCAAGTCGTAAGACGGTTCGGTGTTCAGGTGGTTCTCGTCGTTGTTTGAGGGATCGCGCCGCCCAACGAATACGGCTGGGTTGAACTTGAAGTTCACCGACGGATACTTCACCGCCGAGGGAACAGGAGCATCCACTCTAGGGTTCTTTGGACTGATTACCGATCCCGCTGGAACCAAAAATAGCTTCTTCTTGAGAGCTTCGGGGCCTGCAATTGTGTCCCGAACGGCTTTGCAGGTTCTCTGATGTACGTGAACATCCTTCATCGGAAGTTGAAGTAAGATCAGTTCGAGAAGTTCAGTCACCGCAGATACTGTCTCGGCGACGGAAGGCATGCTGTTGATCTTGCGGTCACAACTTGATCACTTAGGAAAGAGTATCCACTCGACTTCAGAGATCGGAACACGGGTCCATTGTTTGCTGACAGCGTTCGTGAATCGCCGTCAGTCGTTCATGATCCAAAATCCACCAGCACTTTCGACTAGTTCTGGAAATTCGAAGATACTCTCGGCCCGCCACCAAGCTTCCAAACCTTACATTAATCAGCACACGATGAGAGGGCACTAGAAGCCACAACTACTTTTTCTACCTGGCATTCGGGCAACCGCTTGGCCTGGCCAGGTTTGGCTTCTTGAGCCCACGACTCCTTTGTAACAGAAGGCAGAGATCCGGCTCGTGGCAGGCGTGCACGAGACTGAATTTGTTTTTTTTTTCAAGCAAAAATAATTCCGTAATTTACTTTCGAGGGCATGCTGTCAGTTGTGTGAAAACATGGATTGAGAAGGGTCGCGGCCGACACGCATCAGGTAATTCATGTCCGAAGTTGATGAGATTTTGAAAAGGACCAGTGATTTCTGAAGCTGTAACTCTGCGCTTCGGCATGCTGTATATATGCCATTTCTGTGTCTGCTTTGTCGTAATCCATGCCATCTAGAGGGTCGTTCATGCCGCTGCTGAAAGTACCTCCAATCTCATAACCTCGCAATATTTACTGTTGACCGTAAGTGTTGGAGTCTGAAAGTCATTGGCCAAGCAATATGAACGTAATAGCAATGACTGTGGTTTCAGTGGTTGCTGAAGAAGTGAGGTCAGAAGTGAGTTCGCGAGGCCTGGAGATTGGTGGCTTGGCTTGGCGAAGAGGGACCCGGCGATACCTCGAGTACAATAATCGTCTTCCACGACAGACGAGAGGCGTGGGCCACACCGAGGCGTCCTGCAGCCAAAAGCACACACAGCGATATCACGAGCGCGCATGAATACCACACCGGTGTCGTGGATATCAATACCGCCAACCTGAGCCTGAGCCTTCCTGCCAGCACATCGCGACCGTCCTCACATCACCACCGCCCCGCCCCGCCCCGCCCCAATACTGTAGCTTCTACACCATCACATGCGCTGAGCGACTGGAACAAACACGTGTCTCGACACGGCCTCTCGATCTTCCCTACGAACACCGACAACCATCGACATCTATCCGCCATCTCATATCCATATTCATACACCCAATATGGCGCAACAGAGCACCCCGATGCTCATTAAGCCAAACCAGATCGATTCGCTGCCTTTCCTTCAAGCAGACGCCAAAGAGCAGTATAAGAACGGCCTTGCCAACCTGTGGCAGCAGTATGAGACCAATCCAGAGGGTAGTGTGGCTCGTCAGACCGCATATGAGAAGATCAAGACGGCCAGCACCAAGTTATTGAACCAGCTCGCCGCACGCAACAGACCGAATTCTGCTGGCCAGCCGCGGCCAGGCTCGCAGCAAGCAGGTGCATCGCAGCAGCAAGGCGCACAAGGCCAAATGTCGCCTCAGCAGATGCAGGCCGCGGCTCAGGCTCGTCAGCAGCAACAACAGCAGCAGCAGGCTGGCGGAGGGCAGCCAGGACAGCCGGGACAGATGCGGCAGGGCCCGCCAAAGCTCAGTCCAGCGGCGCAGGCAGAATTGGACAGCGTTCAACTTGCGATTCCCCAAGAGCAGCAACCGAGATGGCGGCAGCAGGCCTTCGCGGTGCTGGCCAAGCGTGACCAGATCTTCGCACAAGCGACGCGAATCCAGCAGGCCATCAAACAACAGCAAAGCTCAGGACAGCAGATTTCGCAACAGTCACAAATGCAATTTGCCGAGGCGAAGAAAGCCGCGGAGTTGGCGACGAGAAATTGGAAGTCCACGAAGCTGCAGGGAGAGGGCAAGACTGAGGAGCAGATCAAGCAGATTCTGGCGCAAGAGGATCACCAAAGACAACAGCAGCAGCAGCAGCGCATGGGCAACCAGCAAGGAAATCAGCAACAACAATCACAAATGCAACCGCAGGCACCACAGCAGTCGAGCGTCGACTCGAAGGCTCCTGCGCAAGAACAGCAAACCGCCGCTTCTCCCTCGCCTGCGCTGCCGCAGACTGGCTTTCAACAGAACGCGCAGAATCAGCAAGGAACGCCCGTGCAGAATCAACAACAGCAGCAGCCTCCGTCGACCCAGCCGCAACAACAGACCGCCCACCCAACAGCACAACCTACACCACCACAAGCTTTCCCGCAGGCCCAGCAGGGAATGCAACAGCCTCAGCGACCGCAAATCAATACGCAGATGCCAAGTCAGATGGGTCAACAACAGCAGTCCATGCCGCAGAGCGCTAACCAGCAGAATCCGCAGCGTCCTCAACCGTTGAACCATCAGCAGGCCATATCGCAAGCTGCAGCTTCATATCATCAGCAGAGCAATCAAGGTCAACAGCAAGGTCAACAGCCTGCGACGATGGCTAATGGTCTGCCGTTCAGCGGCAACCAGCCTGCTTCTGCGACCCAGCAGAGTACTCCGACATACCCGAATCTCGCCACCACACAGCAGCAGAGCGCGACTACCAAGTTCCCGATCCCGAAGCAGCTTCAGCTTGACCCGAGATCGCAGGTAATGTTGTCTTGAGCGAGACTAGACCTGGTTGCGTATGCTAACGTCCTCGCAGCAAGCTGTCGCAGGCCCTCCGTCTCGCCCGACCCTCAACAATGCTGGTAAGTCCGCAACGCCACTCATAGCAACCTGAACACTAACGAGTGCAGGCCCCATGTACAACCCCGGCATCCAGCGCGCACCACCATACACTCTCGAAGGCGAAGGCGACCGCGTGCTGAGCAAGCGCAAGCTCGACGAGCTCGTCCGCCAAGTCACCGGCTCCGCACCCGCCTCCTCCGACAGCGAATCCTCTTCCGTCCTCAACCCCGACGTCGAAGAATGCATCCTCGAAATGACCGATAACTTCGTCGACGAGGTGATAACATCAGCCTGTCGACTCGCCAAGCTTCGGCCCGGTCAAACTCTCGACCTTCGCGACATACAAATCACTCTGGAGCGCAACTACGGCATTCGCATTCCTGGATACTCGCTGGATGAGGTGCGCACGGTCAAGAAGTTTCAGCCTGCTGCGGGTTGGACTACGAAGATGCAGGCTGTGCAGACGGGTAAAATTGTTAATAACAAAGATGCTTGAGTCTGTCAGTCTCGCATTAGATTGGTCTTGGGAGTAAGAAGGATGGGTGGTGTGATGTGATGTGGTCCTTCTAGCGAGGTGTTTTGGCGTTTTCATGTAGTGATGAGATACCTACCGCTGAAATGGACTGCATGGATTGGAGATGAGGGTTTTCTTCGAGCTTCTGTCATTGGTCTAAATGCTACCGCTGCCCGGGGTGAATCAGTTCGTGCAGTTAAAGCCTCAGCATGTGTTGAATTTGCCGAAGAAGGCTGCATGGCTGCATCGAGAAGGCTGCCTAATGTCAATATGGTCGGTCTACGTGAGCATCGCGTCACCATCACCATCAATGTATACATCGAATTGATGGCCTCCGAAAGCTCCCGTCTGCACTGCCGGCTCGTGGATCAACGTGCGATCTCACAGCATCGGCATATCTTGCTGAACCGGGACGGTTTGGCATTGACTCTCTGACCAGCAAGGGTGAGAGAATGGCGTGTACTGACAACCACGTACCTGCGAATCGAAGAACTATCGCGGCTTCAGCGTGGTGGTGTGGGGGACAACTCTATTGTTCTGTTCTGTCGGAGGATCCAGAACCCGCCTCGGCGCTACAGGCGTGCACGGGAAAGGCGATGCATGGCATGGCTTGCTTACGAAGTGTAGTAGCTCAGTGCCAAGTATCGGTAGGCTTCCTCATCGGTCTCGACGATGCAATTATTCACCACGTCTATGAGGTAAGTAGGCGTGAAAGTCGAAGTGTCATCATCATGCCTCTCAGTGCTATCGTGTCCGGGCTTGTGATTCACGCAGCTGTCAAGCCAGATCCTCACTGTCTCGATTCAATACCATTTGGGTCAATCGCTCTGCCTTCGAACGCATTCGCAGAGTCCCTCGCAGCTAGCTTCTGTATGCCAATACCTCTATATCGACCGGGACGTAATGTAAGCGTGAGATCGAAAAGAGGAAAAGCATCGCCGTTTTTGGGAATCTAATGGAGGAGGACTTGGAGAGACTCATCCGTGACATATTCTTCTAGCACCATTTCTGTGCTGGAGCGAACCGACGCCACGACCAAGCGACACAATGCGCAATTCTCACGCGTAACAATGTCTTTCAGCAGCCCTAGGTTTGTCTCAAGATCTTCAATTCGGTGGGTGAGCATGTATCGGAAGTCCCAATGTCGGCAGCACCTGCACAGAGTCTCGTCGCCAACGGAGAGACAGTAGGGTTGGCTCTTGAGCTCTTCGGTACTGATTCCATAGACCATTTCCATGACGGGCCTGCTCTCCGCGATGGCCTGGAACCACGCATCCCAGGAGGCATAGCCATGTCGAACGGCGAGCTCTTCTTCGAGAGCCGCGAGCTCAGGCTCATCTTCGCAAGCATCGTATCTCTTCTGCAGCTCCGCTAGTGACAGGTCTGCGAGACTGCCTGCCATCACTGTGTGGCTTCGGCCATATCACGGACTTCCTGGGCGCCTAATTGTCTCTTGGAGCAGTCGCAGTGACGGGGAACGGCGCGGAGGTGATATGTGGAAGCTCTTGAGGACTCTGGTCTTAGTGATGATGAAGGCTGTTATGTGATCGTTGCACTTCCTGCTGCCAGGTGCAGGTGTAGTTGACCGGTCAACAAATATCTCAAACAAAGTTGATGGCTGATTTGATATAGCTCTACGTCAGCGGCACCAAGGCCACAGCTTTCGTAGAGCTCTCAGGGCTAAACAATCAACTTGGAAGTTGTTCCTGTGAACATGTCAATCAATTCAGGTACGGATACTGGAATTCATCTATACTGACAATGCTAACCAGAAGTGCTACGCAGAGGCCATCTGGGCCGCCTCTCCTACCACAACTCGCGGTCAGCCCAGCCCACTCTCCTCCGATGCCAAAGGCGAGCGAATTGCATATGCCTCGAACAAATCCATCTTCGTCCGCCAGATCGACAATCCTTCGATATCTAAGCAATACACAGGCCACACTGCTCAGACATCCGTAGCACGTTTCTCGCCCTCAGGCTTCTACATTGCTTCAGGAGATGTTTCAGGCAGTGTCCGAGTATGGGATAGCATTGGCGCTGAAAACACCAAGGGCGAATATCACATCATAGCTGGAAGAATCAATGATATTGCTTGGGATGGCGACTCACAAAGGATCATTGCTGTGGGAGACGGCAAGGAGAGATTCGGACACTGCATCACAGCCGATTCAGGCAACAGCGTAGGAGAAATCTCAGGACATAGTCAACAGATCAACTGTGTCGATGTTCGCAAGCAGAGACCGCTGAGAGCTGCGACTGGAAGTGATGATATGACTATGTGCTTCTTCCACGGAGCGCCGTTCAAATTCAACACCAGTGTACGAGGGAAGCATACCAACACAGTCTGGGGCACGCAGTTCTCGCCGGACGGAGCCCATTTGGTCACAGTCGGAAGTGATAAGAAGATTTGGCTGTATGATGGCAAGTCAGGCGAGGCCGTCAAGGATATTGGATCTGGAGAGGATGCACACAAAGGCAGCATATTTGGTGTCAGCTGGGACAAGGGCGGGAAGAAGTTGGTGACAGCCAGCGGAGACCAAACCGTCAAGATCTGGGATGCTGAAGCCGGAAAATGTATACAGACATGGCGACTGGGCGACGAAGGTGTTGTGAGCGTCGCGAATCAGCAAGTCGGCGTGACATGGCCACAAGGCAGGAGCGATGGCCTGATCATCTCGGTCGATCTGGAAGGCAACCTGAATTACTTCCAAGAGGGTAGTGCGAAGCCCGTGAAAGTCGTGACTGGACACCAAAAAGCCGTGACGTCTGCAGCAGCATCTTCAGGCGGCAAGACACTTTGGACTGGATCATATGATGGTCGTGCGCGGGCGTGGGACTTGAGTTCTGGTGTAGGAGATGCAGTCGATGGCGAGATGCACTCGAACTACGTGGCGGGCATTGTCGCCTCGGAGAAGGATGGCAGAATATACAGTGTCGGTTGGGACGATACATTGCGAACAGTCTCCGCAGATCAAAAGTCCTTCACTGGAAGTGCTATCAAGACAGATGGGCAGCCGAAGGGCGTGGCCGTGGCTACAGTCAATGGAAAGCCACAGACGCTGGCCGTTACCGCTTCAGGCGTGACAAGCTATACAGACGGCGAGTACGTCTCGCATCAAAAGACACCCACGCCGCCGACATGTATCGCGGCTTCAGGGAGCACGGTTGCGGTGGGATCCGACGACAAGACGGTGCGCATTTTTGATGCTACTTCGCCAGCTTCCTTTGACGCGATGCCAACGCTCAAAGATGCCACCTCACCAATCTCCACACTCGCCTTCTCACCAGACGGCAGCAAGCTCGCTGTCGGTCTCACAAATGGCAAGATATACGTCTACAACAATACATCTGGATCGTGGACGCTCGAGACGAATCGCTGGTCTGCGCATACCGCTCGCGTAACATGCATTGCTTGGAGTCCGGATTCTAAGAAAGCTGTCAGCGGGGCCCTCGACACGAACGTCTTTGTATGGTCGACGGCCGATCCTGGCAAGCGAGTGAAAGCTCTCAACGCACACAAGGATGGTGTCGGTGGTGTGATTTGGCCAGAGGCCGACAAGGTCGTCTCGACTGGCGCAGATGCCGCTATCAAGGTCTGGAAGGTCGCCAATGTGCCTTGAAGAACGTGTGCGTTATGAAAAAAGTATAGATGAAGATGGGATATAGCACGATGCCTACAAACCAAAAGTTATGAAGCCACGAGTACTTTTCGCCGTCAGGATACCTTCTCGTCGCTACCATTTCGCTCCTCTTGACTACCACAGACTTGACGTCAAGAGCGCAGATGCATTTTTCTGGTCGGAGTTGGGAGCGCTAGAGACAGCTGTCTCACCACGAGCATGCACCTGCAGAATCGCAGCGAGGCAAACTGTGAACAGTTGGCCAAATCTTCCCCTGTGCGCTTCGTCAGATGCGGCACGTTCAGCTTGTCCTAAGACTGAAATTGACGGTACTGCAAAGATGTCGAGCTTGACGGGGAAAGAACACTCGCCAGGTGAGCAGCTAGCTGCCTCTCTCCAGAAACGCTTCTCTGCATCAGAGATGGTGTCGACTCGGCATATTTGCAACTTCGGTAGTGCCGCACCTGCCATGAGAAGGGAGCGGGAATGCAAGAAAGGTGGTGAGGCTTACTACACGTGTGGAGAGAAGTCAGCCGAGTCTCTCACAAAGCACTTCATTCTTCTAAAGGGCCGCAGAATCCCATGGTTATGAGGCCAGTGGCGCGGTCAGCTCAGCATTATCGGAGCGAGTGCGCTTCAAAGCGCCAAAAAGTCAGTCAGGCAAGCAGTCAGCGTGGCCTCTCCTGTATCGCCTCGTCAACTTACCTTGTTCGCGAGGCCGGTAGCACAGTGGCCTCGCACAGATTGGAGCGAGCGTACTCAAACAGCAATAAAGTATCAAGGGGAGCCATTGGGCAAGCCTCTCGTTGAGCGCTTCCATACGAAAAAGCTCAATGGCATACCACAGTCATGAGGCAGAAAGCACCGCAGAAACGGCTGCGTTGAAACGGCTGCGTTGAGTACCACCGCGAGGTAAGAGCTTCGGGAGTACACATCGCGGTCAGCTCGAGATCTAGAGTCATACAACTAAGGACGAATCTGCCTCCATGGGCGGCGTTGAGTGGAAGCAGAGCAGGAACTGAGCCATTGATGTGACGGCTTTGAGACCGCAAATGGAGGCCAGCTCACAATCTCAACAGGCTCATCTGATACCGAACCACCCTCCACGAGCCTTGACGCACACTAGAACAAGAGCTCCATGTCGAGAACCCAAACACTGGCGTTCCACACGATCCTGAGACACTCATCTTCCGTCGCGTCGACCATCTCAAGTTCTCGAAAGGTTCCATCTCCCACCGCATTGCATCCTCTGGAGCCGCCATGAAGGCCCGCCCGCTCACGATTTCGCCCTGTACTTCTCGAAAAAGTGCCTGTACCGCTACCAGAAACTTCCTCTCAAAACTTCCCCCTTTCCCTCCTCCATCTGCAGCCAGATTTCGCTCGAGTGGCTTTGAAGCGCCGCAGCTCCCGGAGCGAAATTCCATCAAGAAGCGCTCTCGCCGCCAAATCACGCCAGGAAATAAATGCCGCCACCGACTTCTCGGGCGCGATTTGAGAAAAAAGAATTCCTGCATCACTCACCCTCCTCCATCTACCACCAAATTTCGCTGCAGTGGCTCAGAGCCACCTCATTGCTCGGAGCGCGTGCCTGCGACGGCTATATTCTATCCCGCTCGACCGGCCGGGAATCACAGGAGGCTGGCTCGATTTCGCACGCGATTTGGGATGAGCAGCCTCCTCACGATTTCAAAGCGCTTCATTTGATACTGGGCTCCTAGAAGCACCTCATCGAGCGGAGCGCCCACCTTCAACTTTCTAGAATGTTGGGGTGGAAGAAATTCGACGAAGGAAAAAACAGGAACAGCTTTCAGATTTTTTGAATCGTTCGTTTTGCTCCTGGGTTTTTTCGCTCTGGTAGGTAGTATAGAAAGAAGCACCCAATCGAGCGGAGCGCATGCCTTCAACTTTCGAGAATATAAGGAGCCTACTCAAGTCCACTTTCTTTTTTGTTTTCAGCTCAAGATTTTCGAAAGGTTTATTTACTACTGGGTTTCGATATGGTAGCATAGAAGCACCCAATCGAGTGGAGCGAACCGCGCGATTTGGATGGAATTGAGATGGAAAAACAGGAGACAGCTCAAGATTTTAGAAAAGTTCATGTGCTATTGGTTTGCGCTCTGGCGGTACAGTGACACCCAACCGAGCGGAGCGCATCCATGCCTTCGATCAGTGCCAGCTACTGAGTGCTACAATCTGTCGAAAGTGATGCCATTTCTCTGCCAAGAATTTTGTGGAATTTGTCTGTGAAGTGATTAGTTTTGCTCGATTTCAGCGCAGGTCGGAGGGAAGACTTACTCAAGCGCCGCTGTCCTTCTTGCCCTCAGCCCAACGCTGCACGCTCGCGAAGTGGAATCCGTCCTCGACCATTCCCAGATTGACCGCGCCACCGTTCTCACTGTCCTCCGAAGTCTCGATCTCCCCAAGCAGTGTGTCGGTGTACCATCCCATCGCCTCCGAGAGAGCCTGCAACAGCCCAGCAAGCGCCGCCACAGCAGAGTCTTTCTCAGGACCACGAGCGACAGCCTTCTTTGCCATTCCGACACCACACACCAAGATAGCCTTGTGCTTCGAGCCAGAAGAGGAAATGATTACCTGAAAGAGTTCTTGTGGGTCGAAGACACCAGTGCGGGCGTAGGTAGCGCTGTTCTTGAGGACATGAGGGAAGAGGATCGCAGCATTGGCTGCAAGCATTAGCATTGCACTCGAAATATGACACGGAAGATCAGCTTTACCGAAGATCTGCTCACGGAGTCCGCGAATCTCGTGATCTTGGAGGTACGTGGTGTGAGTCTGGATGGAGTTGTTGAGGGCGCTGACGTTGATGCAAGTCATGGTGAGTCGAAGACTGGAGTAGAAGTGGTAAAGAAGTTTTGTCGAAAGCTGAAAAGCTGAAGAAGAGCGTCGAGAGGGGGTTGAAAGTCGTGTTTGGGGTAAGTGGGAAGAAGAAGAAGAAGAAGAAGTCGACTTGAGAAGAGCAAGATATACCAATGTCCAAGTGAGGTTTGCAACTTCTTCCCATTGCTGTGGGGAAGAATGTGAGGTTCAATGGGCTGACACGTGCCATTGTGAAGCGTGAGGTTCCCAGCAGGCCAATGAGAAGGCCCAAAGACTGAGGAATGAGTGGAGCGAAGTCGAAAAGCTCACTTCTTGCCCAGCTTGCGCCTCGAATGTGGGTCCCAAGACGTTTGAGGTGAGAGTGAAGTGGTCGAACTTCACTTGCCCAAGTGCAGTTGGGAGCGGGATGGGAGTAGAGGCCACGTAAGTAGTGGTGGCAGCAAAACTCGTAGTTTTCCAGCGTGCACGTCCTTTTGCGAGCTCTCTCGACCCATTGTCGCCAGGACAATGAGAGCAGCACAGAGCAAGCAGCCTGCTGCCCGCAAGAAGAGACGCGACTCCGCGCGCTGCATTGTCCATAGACTTGAGGCTCCTTTACTGTCGCGCTCCGCATTGAAGGGTCGATGTGCCATTGACGGTATGTTGGAAGCCACGGTGTAGCTCCCTTCGGAATATGTGAAGCGGGCGTGCTTGTGCTGGTCGAGGTTGTTGGTGATGGAGCTTGACCGTTTTATGAAGCACGTGAAGTTGCTTTCATGCTTCGGAAGGTGGGGCCATGGTCGCGCGCTTGCAGATGAAGGCGCACAGAATATCGCTTCACTCCCACCTCACCTTTCACACTTCACTCATCATTCTCTGCTCAAGTCTCCTTCCAACACCCTCATACACGGCCTCGCCTCGCCTAGACAGGAGACAACTGAGGCTCAACTCGACCTTGTCGCGCGCTCAACCGTCAAATTTGCGGCTGCGGCCCGCCCAGGCCTGCAAAGCAATCTTGTCTCCTGGCCATCTTGAGCTGCAGCGGCGTTTGACGGCCTGGGCAACATTTGTGCCAGGCGTCGGCTTATGGCGAAGCGGTCACGATCGCTGGAGGTGATTTTATCGAGACCAAGCCCGGAATAATGCCTCATGGGAGGTTGTGCGTACTGAAACACAACAACGTGGATATGTTTGGCCTTCTACAGGGCATAACAATTCCACCGAAACCTTGATCAATACGCCGACGAACCAGCGCAGGAAGGCAGGCGAGGCGAGACGTATGTATGTACGATGCGTCACGTATGTACGATCTCACAGCGCACCGGGGTCCGTAGAGCCTCTCAATTAACGTTATCCTTCGAAGCTCAAACGCAAAGCGGCGTGAAAAGCCAGTGCGATTGTTGGTCGATGCCAAGGATTATATTTAGAAGTCCATCTAGCCTTGGGAGGTATTAACTGAGCTGAGATGAGCTTCGCGGCAATTCGAAGCTGAGAAGGTTCAAGAAGCTGCACGCCAGCAGCCTTGCAGCATTATTATCGGCATGATGCATCTTCGTACACATGCTACTCTCTGAGGCATGGCATCGAGAACTATGCTCACGTACAATGCCCGTTCAATACCGCCCCGCCCCGCCTGGAGACAGCATCTCGCCTCGCCGGCCATCTCCCGCTCATGCAGGGTATCCATTGGAGTTGCAACGAAGCCGCAGATGCCAGATTGCTCCGCCGCACCCCGGCAGACAGTTGCCTTCCTTGAGAAGCGCCGTTCAAGGCAGGACACAATGATATTTGGTTGGCTTTACATACATCACAACAATCCTCACAAATTTACGAACCGCCTCGCTTCCATGAAAAATCAACAAATAGCCTGCTTCTCTATATACTAATTCATCCTTGATTACCTGCCCAAAATGCTAGTATTTCAAATATTCTACCTATAGCGACCGGGCGGTCCTAGAAAAGTCGATCGCTATTAAACGGAGGGATTCGAATGTTTCCTTCAAAAGAACCGTTAGCTATATAAAATCGAATTCCGTAGTACAAAGGATTGTGAAAATCAATTAAGATCCCGTAAGTTGTTAACCTATTAGATTCGTGCAGTAGATAGAGTAAGTAGAGCTACTAGGCGACTAAGCAAGCGGAGAGCAACTATTGTTTCTATAGCCTAATAAAGGGATTGATATCGAAGATATATATCCTTAGGAGGACTACGAGCTAGCGAGAGAAGCAGGATATATATATACTGCGATTAAGCGAGATAGCGGACGGGGGTAATCCCCGTAAGCGGTAGCTAGCTTAAAAGCGTTAGACGTAACTTTAAAGTAC